AAAAGGTTTACCAGGATGTTGCCTGGTATGGGGGATTTTAGCTATGAAGAACAGTTGGATAGACTGGATTTGTTTTCACTGGAACACGGGAGGTTGGCGGGCGGGCGGCCTGAGAGAAGTTTATAAGATTGTGAATGGCATGGATAGAGTGGAAAGTATGAGACTTTTTCCCAGGGTGGAGGGGTCAATTACAAGGGGACACAGGTTGAAGGTGTGGGGGCACTGGGAAGAAGTTTGAGATGTGCGAGGCAAGCTTTTTACACAAAGGGTGGTGAGTGCCTAGAATGTACTGCCAGAGGAGGCGGTGGAAGCGGACACAATTAGCAGCATTCAAGAAGCACCTGGACGAATGCATGAAAAAGAAGGGAATAGAAGGATACAGATCCTGTAAGTGAAGACGTTTTAGTATGGAAGGGCAAAATGTGTCGGCACGGGCTTGGAGGGCCGAAATAACTTTTCCTGCACTCTATTGTTCTTTGTAAACATTGAAACATAAAAGATAGGAGCAGGAGGAGGCTATTCGGCCCTTTGAGCCTGTTCCATCATTTTTCACGATCATGGCTGATCGTCCAACTCTAGCCTTATCCTGCTCCTCCCCATAATCTTTGATCCTGTTCACCCCAAGTGCTATATCTAGTCACCTCTAGAAAACATTCAATGTTTTGGCATCAACCACTTCCTGTGGTAATGAATTCCCAAGGCTCACCACTCTTTGGGTGAAGAAATGTTTCCTCACCTCAGCTAAATCATCTACCCCGAATTATCAGACTGTGACCCCTGGTTCTGGACACACCCACCATCGGGAACATCTTCCCTGCATCTACCCTGTCTAGTCCTGTTAGAATTTTAAGTCTGAGATCCCCCCTCATTCATCTGAACTCCAGCGAAATCAATCCTAACTTAGTCAATCTCTCCTCTACGTCAGACCCGGTATCAGCCTGGTAAACCTTCGCTGTACTCCCTCAAGAGCAAGACTCTCCTTCCTCAGAAAAGGAGACCAAAATTGCGCACAATATTCCAGGTGTGGCGTCACCAAGGCCCTGTATAACTGCAACAACCCATCCTTGCTCCAGTACTCGCAACCTCTTGCAATGAAGATCAACATACCATTTGCAGCCTTTACCACCTCCTGCACCTGCATGCTTATCTTCAGTGACTGGTGCACAAGGATGCCCAGGTCCCACTGTACACTCCCTTCTCCCAATTTACAGCCATAAAGAGGCAAGCATAACTGGGACCCATGCAGGTGCCCACAGCCACTCCTTTGACCTGACAGAAGTAAAATGAATTAAAAAAGAAATTGTTCAGTGAGAGAACAAGTTCAACCAAGCAAAAGACAGTTGGTGGATGGGGATTGTTCAGGCCTCTGGTTGAGGAAGAAGTGGACAGCTCTCAGACCATCCTGGTGGAGAATGGAAGTATAGAAGAATTGGACATCCAAGGTGAAGAGGAGACAGTTAGGGCCAGAGAACTGGAAATTATCAACATGACAGAGGACATCAAAGGAATCACAGATGTAGGTAGACAGGTTCTGGACAAGTGGAGAGACAGGATGGAGTCAAAGTAGGAGGAAATGAGCTCGGTGGGGCAGGAACAGGCTGATACGATGGGCCTATTGGGACAGTCTGGTTTGTGGATTTTGGGAAGGATTTAGAAATGGGCTGTCCAGGGTTGGGAGACTATATGGTGGAGGCAGTGCAGGTAAGATCTCCAGAGGAAATCAGATTGGTGACAGTTCTGGCAACAATGGCTTGATGTTTGAGTGTGGGGTCCTGGTTTGGGGGAAGTCAGAAGGAGTGTCTGAAAGTTGGTGTTCAGTGTTTGCAAGGTAAAGATCAGTGTGTCAGACTACTATGGCACCACCTTTGTCGTTTAGTTTGATGACAAAGTTAGGGTTGGATCTGAGAGAGCGAAGTGTAGCAATTTCAGAAGGGGATTTGTTAGAGGTGGGTGAGAGGAGCAGAGAAATTGAGACAAGTGATGTCACACTGATAGTTTTTAATAAAGAGATTTGAGGGCAGGTAAGATGCCAGAGGAAGGGGTCGAAGTGAAAGGTGAATACTGGTGGCAGATGAAGGGATCATTAGGTTGGGGGTGGGGAATTCCTACCTGAAGAAGTGAGTACGGAGACGGAGGCAGCGGAAAAACAGTTCACCGTCATGGCAAGCTTGAAACTCATTAAGATGTGGGTGTAAAGGTATGAAGCTGAGTCCTTCACCAAGGATGGTACATTTAGCCGCAGAGAGTGGAAGCTCGGGTGGTATGGTGAAGTAACAGCCAGAGCTGGGATTGGGGGGGCTGTGACCTCTGGGGGAAGAAAGGGATAGCATCTGAGGGCTGGGAAGGGGTGGCTGCTAAGGGATGGTAAGGGGTTGGTTTGCAGTTGGAGGGGATGGGGATCTGAGAGGCAGAAAGGGGAGGATGGCACAGGGCGGGTGTTTGAGTCCATAAGTTGCTGGAGCTCGTGCGCCTTGATGCCGGAAAGAAAGAGAAAAAGTCTTTTGTTGAGGCAACAACTGAGATGATGAAGTGAATAGGCAATGGCACAACTTTGAGAGAGGGTGAATTGATGTTGCTGCAGAGTGGAGTTGAGTGTGTGCATAATTGCGCATGGTGCTGATTGTGGATCACAGGATATGGTGGGAGCAGTAGGCCAAGGAGCTTTGTACGTCCTGGAGATACTTATAATCCTGGGTGGAATAGAAACCTGAAGGGCGAATCACAGCACAGACTGGAAGAATAATGTCCCATCTTCAAACTGGGCACTTTGCAACCTCTGGACTTAATATTGACTTCAACACCTTCAGATTGTGAACTCCCTCCCACTTCTGCCCTCCCATTTCTGCCCTACTTGTTGCATTCTCAGTCAACATTTCTTTTCTTTTCTCCCTTCTGCCCATTCCAGTGGGACCATCTGTTTTTTCCAGTTAGACACACCACTGTTCTGCCATTCTCACTTTCCGATTACTTAATCTGCACTATCAGCAGTCTTTCTTCCCCAGCAATCCATCCCCCCACTATAGCATAAATACTGTTCCCTTCACCCTTTGTGTCGGTCTAATGAAGAGTCATCTAGACTTAACGTTAAATTGCTCTCTCTCTCCACTGTGATTTCCAGCATTTCTTGTTTTTAGTACAGACTCCAGCATGTACAGTGATTTGCTCCTATAATGCAAATAAAGGAAAGGTAGAGAAACAAGGGAGGGAACTAATCAAAATAGAATTAGAGGGAGAAATAATATACCCCAGCCCCTTTGGTACCATCTCTCTTTCTCTAAAGGCTTCAAGGATGTGGTGGTCACTGCATTCTCTTTCTCCAAGGACACCTGGTCATGAAGTAGCTACAGCTAAGAGGGGCAGGCAGTCAGGAACTATGATGTTCCTTCCTGGATCTGTTGATATTTGCTTTAGCCAGGCCCAGAAGCAGGCCCATGAGGCGGTCTTCTGACTTTCCTGTGTTTCTGTCCAGAGTGAGTGCCCAAAGATCAGGAGCATGGAGCTGAAATGCAACCAAAAGAACAACACATTTAAATTTTTTTTTAAACTAAGAAGAGTGGAAACATTTGTGTATATATGTGTTCCATTTAACATCAACTGGTCTTAATCATAACTCGGAGCATGCACTATCCCCACTCCATTAGCTCAGCAGTGCAACGTTAGCATTAGATATAGAAAGCAATCTGGAAATCAAATGGCATATGTTAGACTTTATAATGTAGGTGTTGGAGTATGAAAGAAAGGAAGTCTCACTGCACAACTACAGCTGACTGGATTGATTTCTTGTGTACAAAGAGAACTTACAATGTGCTGATACTTGCCAGAGTGAATGTACAACATTCTTAGAAGATTTCACAGGAAGAATGCTGAGAGGCTGTTTTCCCTGGCAGGAGATTCTAGAATAAAACTTGGTGAGCACCTAAAATACAACATTTAGGCATCACTCCGTGTTAAGCTGTGCCTTTGACAGCGTCGTTTCCAGACCAGTTGATCCTTTACTTGCAAACTTAACGCATGTATCTACTGATGTCTGTGCTGTACCAATCTACCTATAAAATTAGCACACGTCAAGCAAAACTTGAGATTAGAAGGAACTTTCTTCAGTGGAACTGTGAATATGAGATAAAATCCCAGGGATTCTGTGTTCAAAGACTACTTTTAAAAATCAGATGAAAGTATGTAGACCCATGCTCCCCGAAAAACATGAAAAAGGTCTCAAAGTCTAAACATCCACTGAGTTTAGTACTGTATTTGGCTGAATGCTAATATCACATCATGGAATAAAGAAAGAAAAATCTAAAGAAATTTAGCAGTTCTGTGGAGAGAGAAACAGTTAACATTCTGGAACCTAGAACTAAAGGAACAAAGAGAACCATGGAGGGTCATATGGCCGGAGGAGATCAGAGATAGGGAGGCGTGAGTTCATGGAGCTTAAATTCTCATTTCAAACATGTAGGGGTGGTTTGGGAGTCGGGGGGAGGTTGACAATTGGTGCATGATATTTAATACATATTGGCAACAAGGTAACACTTACTGCAAGAGAAAGTAGAACTGTATAGCTTCCTCCCGAAAAGTTAATAACTGTCTGCTACTTTGGTAAAAGAATGACTGCTGGTGTAAGCTAATATTTAAATATCAATAATAGTGGTTAGCATTGCTGTTTCACAGGATCAGGGACCTAGGTTCACTTCCAGCTTTGGGTGGCTGTATATTTGGAGTTTATATGTTCTCCCCGTGTCTGCGTGAATTTCATCTGGGTGCTCTGGATTCCTCCCACAGCCCACAGATGTGCAGGCTAAGTAGATTAGCCATGGTAAATGGCAGGTTACAGAGATAAGGTGGGTTGTCAGGGTCTGGGTGGGATGTTCTTCAGAGGGTTGGTGCAGACCCAATGGGCTGTATGGCCTCTTTCCGCACTGTAGGGATTCTGTGATAATTTAAGAGTGAATATTGGTGAAAGGTGTTTAATCTACTTATCCCTTTGGAACTTCTACATTGTACAGGGATTACCAGGACAACAGGGATCACCAGGAACCCCTGGACAACCTGGGCCAAAGGTAAGTCCAGAGTGGTGGACCAGTGAGAGGATTTTTCTATAATTTTCACTCACGTTAAGGGCGTACAACCAAATTACAGGGAAGACCACTTTTTCTATTCAACTGAAAGTGGTTCAATAGTATGACACAGATGTGAGTGATTTAATAGGATTTATTTAATAAGTTACTGTCTAAGTGTGGAAAAGTGAAACAAAGCATGTTGACAAATGTACAAGCTAAATGTGTTTTAATGACCAACAGAGATTTAGAAATAAATTCACCATTCCTAGTGAAAAACAGACTTTGAGGTGAAATGCAGAGCGAGCCAAGGCTAGCACATTGTAGTATTGATTCACAGATGTAGGAACAGAGATTGTGTTCATTGACGAGATTTAATAAAGTACCATAAGACCATTGGATGTAGGAGCAGAATTAGGCCATTCAGCCTAATCAGTTGATCGTCGCTGATATGTTTCTCGACCCCATTCTCTTGTCGTCTTCCTGTAACCGTTGATCCCCTCACTATTAAATACAGTCAACGACTCGGTTTCCACAGCAATGAGTTCCATAGATTCACCACACTCTGGCTGAAGAAATTCCTCCTCATCTCAGCTGTAAAGGGTCATCCCTTCATTCTGAGACTCTACCCCGGGTCCTAGTCTGTCTTACTAATGGAAACATCTTCTCCAAATCAACTTTTCCAGGCCTTTCAGTATTCTGTAAGTTTCAGTAAGACTCCCACCCCCTCTTCTTTCTGAACTCCATCCAGTACAGAGGGTCCTTAACCACCCCGCATGCTCTTCCTCCCTGGATCATTCTTGTAAACTTCCTCTGGACCCCCTCCAGTTACAGCACATCTTCCTTAGATGCAGGGCCCAAAAGTGCTCAAAATATTTCAAATGTGGCCTGACCAGAGCCTTATACAGCCTTGGTAGTATATCTCTGTTCTTGTATTCTAGCCCTTTTGAAATGAATGTTAATACGGCATTTGCATTCCTAACTGCCAACTGGACCTGAGTGATAACATTAAGAGAATCTCCAGATTTTCTCACCATTTACAGAATAGTCTACGCCTATTTTCTTCCTACCAAAGTGCATATCCTCACACTTTCCCACGTTGTTATCCCACAAGAAGGATCTGCCACTTCTTTGCCTGCACACTTAATCTGTCCAAGTCCATCTGCGGCCTCCCTGCTTCCTCAACATGACTGTGTTGCTTTCACCTATCTTTGTGTCATTTATAAACTTAGCAACAATGACTCTAAAGCTCCTTTGCACAGTTTGTTAATGTACCTGAATAGCTGTTGTCCCAATACTGACCCCTGCAGAAGTTCACTAATCACCAGCTGCCATCCTGAAAAAAACCCTTTATTTCCTTCTGCTAGTCATCCAATGCTCAATCCATGCCAGTACCTTGCCCTTAACACTATGAACTCTTATTTAGCAGCCTTCTGTGTGGCACTTTGTCAAAGGCCTTCTGAAAATCCAAATAGATTGCATCTACTAGCTCTCCATTGTCTAACTATCTTTGTTGTCTCCTTCAAGTTCAAACAATTTGCAAGCATAACCTCTTCTTGAGGCTCAGCCCTATTTTACTGTGCATTTCCAAGTACTCTGCAAACTCATCCTTAATAATGAACTCCAAAGTCTTACCAACAACTGAGATCCGGCTAATTGGGCTAAAGTTTCCTGTCTTTTGCCTTCTTAAATAAGGGTGTTATGTTGATAATTTTCCTAGCCTTTGGGACCTCCCTGATTCAAGTGATTTTGGAAAGAACACTGCCAACTCCTCCACAATCTCCTGACCTATGTCCTTCAGAACTTTGGGGTACAGTCCAACTCATCTGGGTAATTTATCCACCTTTAGACCTTGCAGCTTCTCCAGCACCTTCTTCTTAGTGATGGCCAGTACATTCATTTTTGTCCCTGACTGTTGTAAAGCTCTACTACTGTCTTCCACTGTGAAGACTGATGCAAAGTGCTTATTAAGTTCCTCAGCCATATCTTTATTTCCTATTACAACTTCTTCAGCCACGTTTTCCTGTGGTCCAATGTCCATTCTTGCCTTCTGTTATCTAAAAGAAAACTCTTGCAATCGTATTTTATACTACTAGCTAGCTCACTTTCTTTATTGCTTTTTTAGTTTATCTTTTGCTGGTTTTTAAAGGCTTCCCAATCCTCTGGCTTCATACTAATCTTCTCTACATTTTCAGTTTTTTTTTGTGCTGACCCTGACTTCCCTTGTCAGCAATGGTTGCCTGGACCTTATTTAAACAGATGAAGGAAAGTCTGGAGGTCCAAAGAAACTTGGCAGTCCAAGTACACAGGTTATTAAAATATTGTGAACGGGTACAAAAATAATTCAAGTGTCTAGTGGAACATTGGTCCTCATATCCAGAGGACTAGAGTATAAGGGGCTGGAAATCAGGCTTTAGTAATACAAAGCCCGAGTTGGACCACTGCTGGAGGCACCTTTAAAAGATGTATGACTTTGGAGCACGTTTTAGTAGAAAGATACCTGAACTCCAAAATGGGCAACTTCTTCACAGAGTGGTTTGTATATGGAATGAACTGCCAGAGTAAGTGGTAGATGTAGATGCAGATACAGTTAGAACATTAAAAGACATTTGGACAAGTACATGAATAAGAAAGGTTTAGAAGGATATGGGCCAAATTCAGGCAAATGGGACTAGTTTTGTTTGGGAAACTAGGTCAGCATGGATGAGTTGGGCTGAAGAGTCTGTTTTTGTGCTGTATGACTATGAACTCTACGAATTATGTTACCACCAGAGATTACACGAGTTAGGTTAGCACTCCCTGGAATTTAGACAATTAACAGGGAATTTAGACAATTAACAGGTAATTTGACTAAAAGTTTTTAAAGATATTAATGGAACAAATTGGGTTGCTACAGGCAAAAGTATTTCTACTGTTTAGGGAGTCTTAGAGTGTGAATTTAAAAATTAGAGGCACACCTTTTCAGGATTAAAATGAAGAATCATTTTGAATGGCAGATAATGTAAGATCAGTTGTGTAATTTAAATCTGAGATTATTGGCATTTCAAGCTAAACTATTAAGGATTATGGGGAAAGGTGGGCATTTGAGGTTAGGTGACAGATCAGCTGTGATCGCATTGAATTGTGGAACAGGTCTGAAGCTGCATGGTTCGTTCTAGTTCCTGTCTCCTGCAGTGCTCTAAAAGTGCCATCATCACGCACTGTATATACTGACTTCGAGTGACAACAATTCGCTAGGACCAGAAGATTTCCTCTTAGTTGAACATTAAGCACTAAGAATGAGGGTTAGGATTAAGATGTACCCCGTTTGAAGAGTAGAGTGAGTGTTTGTCACTGAAACTAAATTTTCTTTGTTACAGAATTGGAAAGTTGCTGCTTCTATGGGTGATATCTGCTATCACACTATTGTCTCACATCTACTATCGCTTGCTTGCAACTGCGACAACCACATTCACCTCGGGCAACCCCTCTCTCTGCTGCCCTCCGCTTTGCCTCTTGTAGAAATTTCTAACTTTTCAGCTGTAATCAAATAGCTGAAATACTCATCTTTCTGGATGTTACTTTATACTGTTATTTTTGTTCTTGCAATTTCAAGTACCTCTTCTGATGATCTAATGTTCTATATACAGAACTTTAAGCGTATGCTTAACATGTATATTTCAAAGGCTGCTATTTTATTCCACAGATCTCTACTTATTATTTCGGTTTCGGAGGTGGTCAGGAAACTGGATATAAATGTGGCATCTTAGGAGTTTTTTTTCTTGTTGCCAACTTGACTTTTCTTGTCATTATCACATCATTCATGTTCACATTATTTCTGACAGTTGAGACAGTGTGACATTTTTTAACCTCTAAACAAAGAATTTTGTTCAATTTTTCCCCAATACAGGGTATAAGGATGTAGATTTATTAGAGCAGTATTTCAGAGCACAGATTTTAATGGGCAGTGGCGAAGAGATGCACGTGCGAGTTGAGTGCCTTGACTCGGGCCACTGTTCTTAAAATTATATCTTTCTTTCCCTTTTCAAACTATATCCTTATCAAGAGGAATGTCCTGGTCTTGGGTATTTGGGTGAAGAGTGGTAGTTCGTAATAAATGAACAACTAAGATTTTAACAGATTGCTTAAACTTGTAACTATCTAAATGTTAACTCTGAAAGATAAAAGGGTACTGGGGAACCGCAGCCCCTACTTTGTAAGTTTCTGAATATTTCCTCACAAATACTGGTATTTGCTCTTGCAAACACGAATTATAAATTGATACTATTATTCATAACAATGTCACAGAAATCTCTGAGCATCTTGCTTCAATAGGAGTTGCAAAAGAATTCTCCCGGAATAATCCTCAAGTTCGAGGGGATCCTCTGTTCAAGTTTCATTGTGTTCTGCATTACCTAACCAGTCTTTTATACCTATTTTTCACAAGAATGCATACATGTTGACATTGCCTTACTCGAGTCCCTGCAATGGCTTCAGTTTTTCCGTGAATCAGTGCTTACACATGCTCGTAATTGAGCTGTTCCTATCACAGAGCCATTCAATTGAGGCAGTTAGATGGTTCTTTTCCTTACATGAGACTTTCCTTTATTGGTCCTTGGCCCAGTTGAGTTGTTGGAGAAGGACCTTAAGCCCCATCACCTGGAAATTCTTCAAAATGGCCATAGCTCCAGCAAACTCACTCATCCAACTGCTAGGTAGCACACTCCTGCTTATTCAGATGAAGGTACAAATATTTGGCCTGGACCTTGGAGAAAGCTCTGGAAGCCTCCATACCTGTGAAGGGGATTGTGTCCCATTTACATGAGTATCTATTCTGTTTGCCATTCTTTTGCGTTAAGCACTGCCCATCCTTAGCAATATCATCGTTATCTAGATGAGAGAGGTAAAATTGTAGGCCATCATTTTGATTGGACAAATCGTGATCAGAAACAGAAATAACATTGTGAAGGGGAAAAAACAGACTTAACATTTTGAGTACGGTAACCCTTCCTCAGAACTGATGGTGGCTGGAAAAACGTCAGTTTATATGCAAAAAAAGGGAGGGGATGGGGTAGGGAGTAAACGATAGGATAGACCCTAAAGAGAGAAGAGCAGTCGGACAGACAGAGTTGATAACGATCAGGCTGGGACGGTGTATAGTTGTTAATGGGGACTAATAGTGACTAACAACAGGTGGTGTGCAATGGCAGGCTATGTGGTACCAAGGCCTGGTGTGTGGGGTACGGGGCTGGGACATGGGAGAGTTTAGCCTAAAATTATTGTACTTGATATTGAGTCCGGAGGGCTGCAGTGTCCCCAAGCGGAAAATGAGGTGTTGTTCTTCAAGCTTGCTTTGAGCTTCACTGGAACACTGCAGCAAGCCAAAGACAGATGTTGGCCAGGGAATAAGGTGGTGCATTAAAGTGGCAGGCAGAATGTAAATGTTCCGCAAAGCGGTCACCCAGTTTACGCTTCGTTTCCCCAATGTAGAGGAGATCACATTGTGAGCAGTGAATGCAGTAGACTAGGTTCTGGGAAGTGCAAATGAAGTGTTGCTTCACCTGGAAGGTATGTTTGGGCCCTTGGACACTGGGGATGGAGGAGGTAAATGGGCAGGTGCTTCACCTTTGCTGGATACAGGGGAAGGTGCCGTAGGGCTGTGGGGGACTGTTGGCGGTGAAGGAAGTGTGGACAAGGGTGTCCGGGAGGGACCGGTCCCTGCGGAAGGTGGACAAGGTGGGGGGAGGGGAATATGTGTCTGGTGGTGGCATCTTGCTGGAGTGGTGGAAATGGCATCTGAAGATCTTCTGGATGTGCATGCTGGTGGGATGGTAGGTAAGGACAAGAGGAACCCTATCGCTGTAGCGGGAAGGAGTGAGGGCAGAAGTGCGAGAGATGGGTCAGAACTAGTTGAGGGCTCTGTTGACAACAGAGCTGGGGAATCCTTGGTTGAGGAAGAAGGTGGACATTTTGGAGGCCCCCTTGCCGAAGTTGGCCTCATCTGAACATATACAATGGAGACGGAGGAAGTGAGAGAATGGGATGGAATCTTTACAGGAAGCAGAGTGCGAGGATGTATAGTTCAGGTAGCTGTGGGAGTCAGTGGGTTTGTAGTGGATATTAATGACCAGTCTATCCCCAGAAATGGAAACAGATGTCAAGAAAGGGAAGGGAGGAGTCGGGGATAGACCAGGTGAAAATGAGGGCAGGGTGGAAATTGGAGGCGAAATTGATGAAGTTTTCCAATTCCAGATGAAAGACGGCAGTAACACTGATGATATCATTGAGGTATCGGAGAAAGAGTTGTGGAAGGGGGCCAGAATAGGACTGGAACAAGGAATGATAACGTACCCCATGGGGAGACAGGCATAACTAGGGCCAAGCGGGTACCTGTTGTTAGTCACTAATAGTCCCCATTAACACCTATTAACCCTCCCACCCTGATAGTTATCAACTCTTTGTCAACGGCTCTTCTCTCTTTTTAGGCTGTATCCTATCATTCACTCCCTACCCCATTCCTCTTCCCTTTTTTTTTCTGCATATAAATTGACGTTTTCCCAGCCATAATCAGTTCTGAGGAAGGGTCACCAGACCTGAAACGTTAACTCTGTTTTACCCTTCACAGATGCTCCCTGACCTGCTGAGCTTTCCCAGCAACTTTTATTTTTGTTCCTGGTTTGCAGCATCCGCAGTTCTTTTGGTTTTTATGCATCTCATTACCTTTTCATCTGCCTGCAAAAGAAGATCATTCTGATTGTTTGCTTTCCTAGGGTGAGCCAGGAGCAGTGGGACCTCGTGGAGCTCCTGTAAGTCCAAATGTTTACAATTACAAAATAACTTGATTGTAAAATGTTAACGTTCTGCAAAAAATTATTGGAAGTGTAAAATAACATTGTGTATTTAACTGCAGAATAATCATTTTGGCAAGATCTCAATGAAACGACTTGAATTTATATCACAACTTCAGTTTGATAAAATGGTCTCATTGCTGTTATAAGGCACTTGGGGAAGACGAGGATGGCAAAGGATGATGCAGTAGGTAACCTTGACCATTGACTGAAGTGGACGGAAAGCGAATAAAGGTCATACTGAAGACTTAGTTATTTATTAAGGAGGTTTAGAAAATGGGGGAGAGATACAAATAAGTGGATAGGTTTAGGAAGAAAATTCCAGAACATTGGATCAACATGATTGGATGAGGGAAGGAAGTTGTACATGGGTCAGAGTTCAACTGGCATGTCTAGTTTGAAGAGGATATGGAGACATGGTGTAGAGGGACTAAGGAAGGAATGATGGATAAGAACAAGGAATTTGAAGACAACACAATTGGAATACGTCCCTAGTGAAGACAGAGGGGACTGAGACACTGTGGATTGTGAAGTTTAGAACAATTGAAGCTTGCATAGATAGAGCAGAAGTCAAGATGCTGGAGAAAAAGCACTTAGAAGGTCAAACTGGGCATAATGAGAATGTGAGTGGCGATTTCAGCAGTGAGGCAGGGCTGAAGATCAGTTATAATGACAGACTGAACGTATGATTCACAGTTCAGATCATGGTGAATGACAACTATTTGGTTTATTGCTATTTGATGTTTCACTATTTGTTTCACTTATGTAAGGAACCAGAGAGAGGATGAAGTTTCAGCCTCTTTTCATCATTCAACAGATTCAGACTTGTTAATATTTTGGTGGAAGATGTGATAATGCATGGGCAATTTGATAGTACTAATGGAGGGCATAGGTGAGGATGCAGAATGGGGCTAAGGCTAACTGTGGTGGCAGAAAATGAAAGTTTGTGTTACTGATGTGCGTATGAAAGCTGGAGACCTCTTGCTTATCGATAACATCAACAAGAGAAACATACTCTTATAATACTGTTATGATACTGCAGGGGATCGAGGATAAAGCTATGGTGCATGGATAATGTGGATGGAAGAGGGAATCTGCTTCAGCCAGTATGATACCTGTACATAATGAGCAGGACTGGAGTTCACAAGGAGCAGTCACTCATAGCTGGATGAACAGTCTGGAGTGGTGGAGCTAGCATCATTGAATATTTGTAAGGCTGAGTTAGAATCTTGACTAACAAGGGAATCAAATATTATCAAGGTAGGCAGAAGGTAGACCCCAGTCAGATCAACCATTTTCTGATTGGATGGTGGAGCAGACTTGAGGTGCTGAATTACGTGTGTATGGGCCATCAGATTTCCAAAACCACGGACAAGTCAAAGGTGAAATCATGTATATTAGGCATGCTCAAACACCATGTTGTTGTTGGTGATATCAAAGATCAGCTTGTGATTTGAGCTGGGTGCTGTGGAGATGGTGAAAGCCATGACTAAAATGTTTTGTACACAAAGTGACCATTTAATTTATGTAGAGTGTTGCTAATTCGAAGGTCTTGGAGAGGAAGGTTAGGAATGGGTTTGAAGTTGAATAGAATGGAGGTATATTGTAAAACACTAACTTGTTTGCCAGTTCCACTATGCTTTGACTTCAGTGCCCAGAAATAGCAAAATCAGTTCCTTCACTTAAAAAAAAAAAGTCAATTTTAAGTAAAAATTGTTCCATTGAAATGTCTGCTGTTCTTTGTTTGTAGGGTGAAGGTGTACCAGGACTACCAGTAAGTAGTACAACTGTTCAATGGATTTGGCAATTATTGGTTAATTATTGAAATGTGAGCAGATTTTCATTGTGTTGTAACAAAATTGTCTTTTACTGGGGCTTTTTTCTTTATCATGTAAATATGGATGGTTACTTTCACCTTGTTTGCCTTTCAAATCTCCCTGTACTGTGCATAATCTCGCTGCTAGTCCCTGGTAATATTGTCTGGACATTATACCTTTCCACAATGTTGTAAATGAAACAATATCAAACTCATTCTCATTATCACAACTTCGTGTATTATCATGAGAGGATAGAACTTAAGAGCTGGGATATAAAGAAAAGCCTGTAAGAAACTTTTGAAGTTTTGAGTGCTGCACTCAGTATAGGAAGGAGATGGTTGCTTTAAAAATGCCTATTCACTGGAATGCTGCTGGTAGGTGGAATAGCAAATATGAAGAAAGGTTTGGAAAGATTGTGGTATGTGGATTTGGGATAATGTGACTGTCCTGTCTGAACATCTCTGTGGATGGGGACCATCAAGAATATGACCATGTTCATCAGCTGTGAAGCTTAGCATGATCGATAGCATGAGGGCTGATAGATACAGAATTATATCTAAGGTGTTTGGCATACAAGACAGGAGGTACATATTTAAACAGAGTTATGAGGTCCTGAAATTTATTTCGAGTTAATGGGTGAGGTGATAACTGGGGGCTGTATTTTGACCTTTAAAATCATGGATGGTTTTAGGTTGGGTTAGCTGGGGAAGCTGGAGTGTTGGGAGTTAAAATCTTCAAAACCTGTGTCGAGCCTGCCTTCCATCAGCCCATTTGTTAACTATAAATGAAGATGAAAGGTAGGCAGGCTGGAAATTTAAATGTAAGAATCAGTCAGTGAATCTTATCAGTACAGTCAGTAACAAAACTATAATGACAATTGGCCATGCTTCCCCGGGAATGCAAGCAACTTTAGCGAGTTGAGGAATGGTAGAGTCAGGAGGTAAAAGTCTTTCTATCTATCTCCTGGCTCCAGGTGTTCATCTAAGCAATCTTCATGATTGGGGCCCTCTGACGCCTCTAAGATTTCACCATTAGCCTCCGATACCCTTCACCAGGTCTCAGGACCATATGCCCCTCCTGCCCAATCTACAGGACTTCACCATCCTCCACTCAGTCTTTCAGGTTCAACAGCACTTAACAGACCCTATCCTCCACATTGTGCTGCCCAACCTCAGTGTTCTGGACTGTTAGGAGAGCTAGTTTATGGAAAGGGATGAATCTCTAGGATTTTTTTATTGCTCTGGAGGGTAAATGTTGGGATGGGCTGCTCTGGCTGGATGGCCTGCTTCCGTGGCTTAATCTGCAATATCAATTCTGAGCTCCAGTGAGCTGGATCATAAAACCTTCTCCTCACTGTATAATTCATGTTGGTCAAGTCCTTCCTTGCTTGGTGTCTTGCTTTCCTGATCAGAGATTGGCAGCAGGCTGCAGTCCTGCAGGGACGCCATAACGTGCTCATGAGAGCTCTCTTCCTGTTTGAGCCTTGGTATGAAGTTTCTGCAGATGATTTAAACTGAACCCAACCCTGGTTTCTATCCACTGTACTTTCCATCAAGAATGACAGGATAATGGGAATCCTGACTAATATTCCACCTCCTCCCACCAACCTACAAAACCCATTTTTGGTTAGAGACCCAGCAGAAAGCAATCCCAGGTTGCTCCTTGTCTATATTCACTCAGTCCTGTGAGTGCATTTACTTCACTGGGGCACTTTAATATGACTTCTACAGTGACAAAGTTGGATCTCAGTAGGCCCCTTATGTTAGTAAAGATGTACTGGCAATGAAGGCAGTTCAGAGAAGATTAACTAGGCCAATATCTGGTATGGAGGGACTATCTTAGGAGGAGAGGTTGAGTACGTTGGGTCTCTACTTGTTAGGAAATAGAAGAATGAGCAATGACCTTATTGAAACATACAAGATTCTTAGAGGACTTGACATGGTAAATGTAGTAAGGTCGTTTCTCCTTGTGGGAGAGTCTGTGATCAATAAGGAGGATAGCCTTAGGGCTATAAGAGGATATAGATGAGCTTGTCTGATGAACTAGTGGCAAGTGGAATTCAATCTGGATAAACGTGAGGTGATACACTTTAGCAGGACAAACAAGGCAGGGAACTATATGATGAATGGTAGCACCTTGGGAAGCACTAAGGATCAGAGGGACCTTAGAGTGTCCCTTGAGGTATCAGGACAAGTGGATAAAGTGGTTAAAAAGACTTGTGCTCTATTTGCCTTTATTAATTGAGGCGTAGAACTTAAGAGCAGGGAGGTTATGTTGGAACTGTATAAAATGTTGGTTAGGACACAGGTAGAGTATTATGTGCAGTTCTAGAATCCACATTATGGGAGGGATGTGATAGGAGAGGGTGCAAAGATTTACTAGGATGTTGCCTGGGCTGGAGAGGTTCTGTTATGAGGAAAGATTGGAGTTGTTTTCCTTACATCAGACACGATTGAGAGATATAAAATTATGAGGGAAAAGATTGGGTAGTCAGGAAGGAACTTTTCCTTTTTGATGGAGGGATTAAGAGTGAAAGGTAAAGAGCAGAAGGTTTAGAGGAGATATGAGGAAAACCTTGTTACTCAGAGGGAGATGGGAATCTGGAACTCACTGTCTGTAAAAATGGTAGAGGTAGAATCCCTCAGAGCATTTAATAAATATTTAGATGTACACTTGCGATGCCAAGACATACAAGGCTATGGGCCAATTATTGTAAAATGGGACGAGAAAAGTTTTCAATTACTACAGATGAAGTGAGCCAAAGGGCCTTGTCCTGTGCTGTAAGTCTTTATGACTCAATGACTGTAGTAATGGGTTACCCATTTAAAGACAGCGATGAGGAGAAATTTCTTCTCACATGCTAGTGAATCATGGAATTCCTTACTTCAGAGAGCTGTTGAGGTTAAGTCATTGGGTATATTCAAAGTTTGGGGGAAGACCATATTTGGCCACTGGCTTCAATGAACAGAATGTAGGAATCAGCAAGTCTGTGGTCTGTTGGCTGCAAGGTCCTGCAGTAAATGAGCAAGGGTAGTTTTGCTGTTAATGCCATGTGACCTCACTGCATGAGCTTTGTGTATTTTGACTGGCTTATCCTACCTTACATTCCCCAATAGGCAGAAAGCGTTCTGCTAAATCTGTGTTGCTTTGCTGCAGGGGCCTCCTGGTCCATCTGGACTTCCAGGTGAACTTGGCCGTGTTGGACCTCCCGTAAGTATTCGCCCTTTAATCATTTTTGTCACTTTGTTTTTGCAATTTTACAAATCCTCCCCTGGCTGTTATATTTCAACCAATATGGCAAATCCAGTAGAAACAGAGGGAACGTGATTACTTGTGCATGTGTGAATGTACAAGGTAACTGTTACAGTGAATGAAAGAACTGAGGGGTTGTTGCTAAGTTTGCAGATGACACAGATGGCGGTATAGGTAGTGCTGAGGCTGCAGAAGGACTTGGACAGATTAGGAGAAAATGCAAAGAAGTGGCAGATGGAATACAATGTGAGCAAGTACGTGGTTATACATTTTTGGTAGGAAGAATAGAAGCATAGACTCTAAGGTTTGAGTAGATTTGTAGCTTGGGTTGTGGGCGTTGAGGTTGGTTGGCTCGCCGAGCTGGTTTGTTGTTCTGCAGACGTTTTGTTACCATGCTGGGTAACATCATCATACACTGCAAACCAGCTCAGCGAGCCAACAGAAGCATGGACTATTTTCTAAATGAGGAAAGTCTTTGGGAATCTGAAGCACAAAGGGATTTATGAGTCCTAGTCCAGTATTCTCTTAAGGTTAACATGAAAGTTCAGTTGGCAGTTAGGAAGTCAAATGGAATATGCACATTCATTTCAAAAGGGCTAGAATATAAGAGCAGAGATTTAATTTTGAGGCTGTACAAGGCTCTGATCAGACCAAATTTGAATAATATGTACAGTTTTGGGCTCCATGTCTAAACCAAGAATGTTTTGACATTGGAGGGGGTCTAGAGGAGCTTTACAACAATGATCCTGGGGATGAATGGCTTGTCATTTGAAGAGCAATTGAGGATGCTGGGTCTGTGCTCATAGAATCCCTACAGTGTGGAAACGGGCCCTTCGGCCCAGCAAGTCCACACCGCCCCTCAGCATCCCACCCAGGCCTATTCCCCTATAACCCATCTAATCTACACATGCCTGATACATTATGGGCAATTTAGCATGGCCAATCCACCTAGCCTGCAAATCTTTGGACTGTGGGAGGAAACCAGAGCACCCAGAGGGAACCCGTGCAGACACGGGGAGAATGTCCACACAGACAGTCACCCGAGGGCGGAATCGAACTTGGGTCCCTGGCACTGAGGCAGAGTGCTATCCACTGAGCCACTGTGCCGTTTGATAGAGTTTAGAAAGATTGGGAGGGGGCATCTGATTGAAACTTACCAAATACTGAGAGGCCAGGATAGAGTTGACTTGAAGATATTTCCACCAGAACCCAAGGCCACGGCCTCGGTGAAGGATGACCATTTAGAACTGAGATGAGAAGGAATTTCTTTAAGCAGAGGGTGGTGAATCTGTGGAACACATTGCCACAGAAAGCTATGGAGTTGAGTCATTGAATGTATTTAAGGCAGAGATAGATAGGGTATTGATGAGGTAAGGAGATCGAGGGTTACAGGGAAAAGGCAGGAGAATGGGGTTGAGAAACACATCAGCCATGATCAAATGGTGGAGCAGATTCGTCGGGTCAAATGACCTAATTATGCTCCTGTACCTTATGGTCTTAACAAGTTAAGTTTTGGAGCCCAAAACTGTACATATTATTCAAATTTGGTCTGATCAGAGCCTTATATAGCCTCAAAATTAGATCTCTGCTCTTATATTCTAGCCCTCTTGAAGTGTTTTTAGTCATAAAATGTGTAAAATGAACTTTCTAAATTCTGGACAAACTATCGTAGGAATATGTAGCCCTGTTGTGAAAGTGATTGGGGTCTTGAGGTCATTGCACCCTGTAACTGTTCTCCTTTGTTGTCAATTACTTTGTTAATTTCCCCAACCCAGAAACAGGGAGATTTCACAATGTGGAGCTGGAGGAACACAGCAGGCCAGGCAGCATCAGAAGAGCAGGAAAGTTGACGTTTTGGGTCGGCACCCTTCAGAAATAGGGGAGTGGGACAGGAGTTCATCTCTCAAACCATTCACAACCCCATCACCTTGGGTGACCTCCGACCCACAGCCTTCATCGTTCCCCAACTCTGCACTGCCTGTTTTTTATCTCCTTCCCAAAATCCACAAACCTGACTGTCCCAGCCGACCCATTGTCTCTGCCTGCTCCTGCCCCACTGAACTTCTCTCCGCTTACCTGGACTTTTTTTTTTTTGTTTTTCTTCATTCCCCCGCTCCCCAACCTACCTCCCCGGTCCAGATCGGAGGTTCCCTCCCCCTCCCCCATTTCTGAAGAAGGGTCCCGACCTGAAACATCAACTTTCCTGCTGCCTGGCCTGCTGTGTTCCTTCAGCTCCACCCTGTGTTATCTCTGACTCCAGCATCAGCAGTTCTTACTACCTCTGAACAAGGGAGATTGTGGTTTTTCCTTTGCTGTACATAGTTAAGATATTATGATAGCATGACTGCCTCTAGCACTTCACATTACCCATTGTCTCCAAATTTCTAACTGTTCATGGCCATTTACAATTGCCCAATCTTCATTTTTGTCCATTGCTGAAGCCTATTTTGATCAGTTCACGCAATGTAGGTGATGCTGAGGAGGCCACCTTTGTTACCCATCCTTAGCTACCATTGACAATGGAGTGAAGTATGGAACTACTGCATACCTTGTCCTGATTGAGTTACACTGTGTGGTTATCCACAGTAGAGCAGCAGTGGGGAAGGACCAAGCCAGAATGTAGTATGAATTGCAGGTAACGTTGCACACAATAATATCCCCTTCTCTTCACTATACTTGTTTCATTGGCTTCTGCCTCTTCCTCCTTTGTACAGCCAGCTGTAATTCCACTATTCCTTGGCTGCATACATCAGCAAGGGGCTGTTGCTTTTTGTGTGTGTATGTATCTGTGTGCAGTAGCTGCCCAACGTGGTCATACACAGCTGGCAAGATGGACTGCAGCCAAATGAGGGCAACATTTTTTAGTGGCCAACCTCCTGGATATAGACATCTCTCATGTATGCTCCACCTGCTTATCTGTAGCAGGTGGGAATGGACTTAAGTGAACTCTGGGGATCCCACGTTGCCATGCATCATGACAAAAGGAAGGCAGACTTTGAGATGTTGACACACATCATCGGCTTCAGCCCAGAAGGGCCCTGATTCATAAAGATCTAGCTAGAGTCATGCTCACCCTCACTGGCAATACCACCCCCCCTTCCCACAGTACTTTCCCATGTAACCACAAAAAATGCAATGTTTGCCCCTTCACTTCCTGCCTGGTCACTATCCACTGGCCTAAACAGTCTTTCCAGGTGAAGTAGCATTTCCCCTGTACCTCCTGGTCGATTGTATTTGCTGCACCCAATGTGGCCTACTCTACATTGGAGAAACCAAACGCAGACTGGGTGACCGCTTTGTAGAAACACCACCTGTGCGCAAGCATGACCCTGGCCTTCCTGTAGCCGGTCATTTTAACACAGCATCCTGCTCTCATGACCACTTGCCTGTCCTTGACATGCTGGAATGCTCCAGAAAATCAGAGCAAACTGGAGGAACAACCTCTCATCTTCCGACTAGGCACTTTACAACCTTCTGGACTGAATACTGAGTTCAACACTTTCAAACATTGAACTCACTGCCATTTCTTCCCTTTATTTTAGCTTATTACATTCTCTGTCACCATATCCTCTCCCCTTTCCCCATTTCAGTGGGACCATCTGTTTTTCCAGTTTAGCTGTTAGACACACCATTGTTCTGCCATTCTCACATTTTAATCACTGTAATCTGCACTCTCAACACCCTTACTCCCCAGCACTCCACAACCCCACCATTGCATAAATGCTGCCCCCTCCACACTTCACATCAGCTCTGAAGAGTCATCTAGTCCAAAATTTTAGCTTGCTGTCTCCACGGATGCTGCCTGACATGGTGATTTCCAGCACTTTTTGTTTTCACTGGCAGCTCTGAGGATGTAGTTCTGGTTATAGCTGATGGCAGATTTCAATGAAGCTGCATACATTAGCAAGAGGTGGGATTCCTGATGGGTTTTAGATTCTCTGGCTGATGACGCCTCTATCATTCCCTAATTTCACTCTGGAATACCCCAAGCACCGAGATTGTAAATAGTTTCCTGCAGTTTGCCATCCTTTTTTCACTGGCCAATGGATGGGATTTTTCTGTAGGTCCTGATTTAATGTGACAGATAATTCTGTAATGACATAGAACATAGAACACAGCACAGTACAGGCCCTTCGGCCCATGATGTTGTGCTGAACTTTTACCCTAAACCTAAGGTCTATCTAACCTCCACCTCTACCTTATACTATCATCCATATGCCTATCTAATGGCTGCTTAAATGCCCCTAATGAGGCCGACTCCGCTACCCTCTCCGGCAATGCATTCCATGCCCCTACCGCTCTGAGTAAAGAACCTACCTCTGACACGTCTCCTATATCTACCTCCACTCACTTTAAAACTATGCCCCCTCGTAATAGCTACTTCCACCCTAAGAAAAAGTCTCTGGCTGTCCACTCTATCTATACCACTGATCATTTTGTACACCTCTATCAAGTCACCTCTCATCCTTCGTTGTTCTAAAGAGAAAAGCCCTAGCGCTCTCAACCTTTCCTTGTAAGACCTTCCCTCCATTCCAGGCAACATCCTGGTAAATCTCCTCTGCTCCTTTTCCAACGCTTCCACATCTTTCCTGTAATGAGGCGACCAGAACTGGACACAATACTCCAGATGTGGCCGAACCAGGGTTTTGTACAGCTTGAGCATAACTTCACAGCTCTTGAACTCAATCTCTCTATTAATGAAAGCTAACACACCATATGCCTTCTTAACAACTGTATCCACTTGGGTGGCAGCTTTCAGGGAACTGTGGACATGAGCCCAAGATCTGTCTGCTCCTCCACACTGCCAAGAATCTTTCCGTTGACCTGCAGTTTATTTTCAATCCCAGGGTGACCGAGGACCTCCAGGACTACCTGGGCCACCAGGCCCACCTGGACCCAAGGTGAGTAACTCATCATTTTCACCAAATATCCATTTCTATGTATTAACTGGTGACTGTTTGTGTTCCAGTTTGATAACAAGTTAGTGCCAACTATTAACATCTAAATCTAAAGAATAGATAACCCAGTGAACCACAGTAACTCAATTGTGCATTATTTAGAATATTTAGGATTTGTTTCATCTGGAATGAGCAGCCATGGAGACTGTATGGATTTATAGATGGCCAAAATATAGATATGGATGAATGATCAACATCTTTTCTTCACCAGCACTCTACACCCCGGCACTGCCACGCACCACTCCCTCAACTATAGCATAAATGCTGTCCCCTCCGCACTTCACTTCAGCTCTGATGAAGAATCATCTAGAGTCAAAATGTTAGCTTGCTCTCTCTCCATGGATGCTGAGTGACCAACTGTGATCTGCAGCATTTGTTGTTTTCAGTACAGATTCCACCATCTGCGGTAATTTGCTCCTGTATAGATATTGATCAGTTTATTGACGGCTCAGATTTTGAAATCAATGAGGGCAATTGCTGATGATGTCAGGCCGAACTATCAGGTTCCCTAATGTGTTTTGGGGTGTGGGTGAGAATTTCAGCTCTGAGGAAGGAGGACCCCTTCCAACCATGACCCTGCAGTCTTTTCTAGTGCAGGTGGAAAAAAGTGGCCATATGGTGCAGTGACCAGAATCCATGCCTACACAATCTGACAAAACCAAACTTCTTCAGTATCTGTCACCTTTAAAAAGCCAATGAAACAAGAGATTAAATTAGATTGATTTGAACAAAATCATCAAGTTCTATCTTTTCTTTGAAACGGTGATATATTTTTGATCAGACCCATTTTAATAGATGCCAAATTAATTCATTTTAGGAAGATAGGTAAGTCATTTTAAAAAGTGATATGTATTGTGACATTCAAAATGCTCTGATCAACTGTGTTAAAAATAATTGACCTACAAATATTTCAAGTTAGATAAATATTTTTAAAAAACAGTTTGAATCAACTCTTTTTAAAAAAAAAAAAAGACTAGAGAATCCTCATTATATCTGTTAAATATTTTTAAAAATCTTGATCAATTTAACTGAGATTTGAAAATCTTCTTCCGTCTCCTGGCCCTTTGAAAATTCTTTCTGGAGCTGGGTACTCATGAAGTATTTGTGAAAAATGACAGGTTCATATTGTTTTGCAATACCAACCCTTGTTAGTCAGAATAATGTGTCATTAATTGGCAGTCAGACCAAATTCATGCTACTGTCAAATTCCTAGTTTTGGGACCGATAACTGCAGAGCTTCTGGAGCACTGAAGAATGGCGACTTCTGGAAGTGCTTGGGCACAGGGGAAGCCTTCAAGTTCCTCTGCCCTGTTTTGATGGTGACTGCTGAGCACTTGCAGTCATTGTTCATGCAAAATCTGGGCCAATAAAAATGAAATTGAGCAATGCTACAAAAAACACATGTTTTTGAAGCTATTTATCTTGCACTTGTTAAGACTATCCACAAGAATACAAATTAAATGAGTAAACCAACATTTTTACTGTACAGTCTTTCATTCCACAGGGCAATGCTTTGATCAATCACAGTCATGGTGATTGCCACGGTGAAGGGTGGCATGGTGGCACAGTGGTTAGCACTGCTGCCTCACAGCGCCAGGGACCCGGGTTCAGTTCCACTTGTGGGTGACTGTCTGTGTGGAGTTTGCACATTCTCCCCGTGTCTGTGTGGGTTTCCTCCAGGTGCTCCAGTTTCCTCCCACAGTCCAAAGATGTGCAAGCTTGGTGGATTGGCCACGCTAAATTGCCCGTAGTGTTCAGGGATGTAAAGATGGGGTGGGTTTGGGTGGGTTCTCTGAGGGTCGGTATGGACTTGTTGGGCCGAAGGTGGTGTAAAAGTTAAACAAAGCCTGGCATTTAACTGTGTAGGGGAAAGCAGTGAGACCATTGGTGGGACTGCTGCAGAAGAGGGGAGATAAAAGAACAGCAAGGCAGTGGTAGGGGATTTAATTTTGAGGCGAACAGATTGGCATTTCTACAGCCATAGAAGAGACTCTAGGATGCTGTTTTGCCACCATGGTGCCAGGGTCAAAAATGTCACTAGCGACAGGGCATTCTGAAGGTGGAGGCTAAACAGACAAACTTTTTTTTACATATTGGTACCAGCGACATAGGTAGAAAAAGTGAGGAGGTCCTGAAAGTAGCATTTAAGGAACTAAAGTAGATTAAAAATCAGGAACCAAAAGATGATGATCTCTAGATTACTTCCAGTGCCTCGTGTGAATTAACATAGGCATAGAAGGTTAGTTCGGATGAATGAGTGGCTGGAGAAATGGTGCAGGAGGGAGTGCCTTAGACTTCTGGGACATTGGGATTATTTTTACGGGCTATGGGACCTATACAAAGTGGACGGGTTGCACGTGAACCAAATTGGGACCAGTATCCTTGTGGCAAGATTTGCTGGTGCAGTTGGGGAGGGTTTAAATTAACTTAGCAGAGTGTTGGCATCCAGAGAGAATACTCAGCAGGGGAAGATGAATGGCCAAAATTACAAGTGACAATGTGTGAATAAGGTAGGCACAGACATTTTAGACCAGTCAAGGCACAAGATAGTTTGACAAGACTGGTATTTATTGTAATGTTAGGAGTCTGACAAACCAGGCAGATGAATTGAGGGCACAAACTGAAACATGGGGGTATGATGTTATTACTGTTATGAAGAGATAGTGGAGAGAGGGGATGGACTGGCAGCTCAATATTCTAGGATGCAGCGTTTTCAGGCGAGATAGGGAGGAAATGTCACAATTTTTCCTCGGGAATCAATTACAGCAGTAAGGAGAGATGACATTTTTAGAAAGCTCCTGACATAAGCTTCTATCCATGTGGATAGAACTTAAAAACAAAAAAGGAGCAATCACATTGCTGGAGTGGACTACAGAACCCCTGACAGTCTGAGAGAAATAGAAGAGCAGATAAATAGGCAAATTTCAAGTAAGTGTAAAAGTCATTGGGTAGTGATAGCAGGGAATTTCAACTTGCCCAACATTAATGGGGTGTTCATAATGTGGGTCCTGGGTCCTAATGAAGGGTCCCAACTCAACGCTGACTTTCCTGCTCCTCTGATACTGACTGATTCCTGACACTGAGCTAATTCCTCCAGCTCCATACTGTATTGACTCTGACTGCAGCATCTGTAGTTCTTGGTATCTCCGTGTTCATAATGTGAATGTTGTGGAGGGAGCAGAATTTTAAAATGCATTCAGGACAGATTTTTAAACCAGTATATAGAAGTCCTGGACTTCATTTTAGTGACAAAGTTGTGCAAGTGGTTGAAGAGTCAGTGATGGAGCATTTTGCAGATAGCGATCATAACTCATATTCAACATTATTATGGAAAAGGACAAAGACAGGCCTGAAATTGATGTTCTCAACTAGGGGAAGGGTGATTTGAATAAGATATAATTTGGTCAGAGTTGACTGGGAGCAGAGACTTTCACATAAATCTGTCTCCGAATAGTGGGTACATTCAAGAAGGAAATATGGAGAATACAGGACAACATATTCCAATAAAGAGATAGGGTGGGATCATCAAATCCAGTTAACCCTCGTTGTTAAGGGATATACAGCATTGGATTAAGAGAAAAAAGGTAAGCTTATGGCAGATACTGAACATGTCCTAAAGGAATATAGAATGTACAAGAGAGAAATCAAAAGGCAGATTAGAAGACGTAAAAGGGGATATGAAAGGATTCTGGCATGTTTTTTAAAAAAAGGAAAATCTTAAGTTGTTCTACAAGTACATTAAAAGGAAAAAGTTAACCAGGGAAAGAGTAGGGCCCATTAAGGGCCACACTGGTAATTTATGCATGGAGCCAGAGGATGTAGGTTGGGTTTTAAATGAATTCTTTGGGTCCGTGTTTACTTGTGAGTGGGATTACATGGGTATGAAAATCAGGGAGAAGGTCTATGGTACGATAAAATAAGTTCGCATAGATAAAGGAGGTTTTGAGTGATCTAGCAGGCTTAAAAGTAAATACATTTCATCTGGCCATAGAGATTTATCTCTGATTGTTGAGTGAGGTAAGGGAGGAAATAATAAGGACACTTGCAGAGTTTTCAATTCCTTTCTGGCCACAGGAGATGCCGGAAGACTGGAGGAAAGCTAATGTCTATCAATATTAAAGAAAGGAGCAAGGGATAAACTAGCACACTACAAGTTGGTCAATTTAACGTGGGTGGTGGGAAACTATTGGAAGCAATTCTGAGGGACAGAATTAATCTATATTTGCAGAGGGAGGGATTAATTAAGAACAGTCAACATGGTTTTGTTAAGGGGAGGTCATGTCTGGCCAACTTGATTGAATTTTTAGAAGGGGTGACTTTTTAGAAGTGTGTAGATGAGGTCATGCTTTTGGTATAGTCTACTTGGATTTCAGCAAGGCTTTGGATAAACTCCTGCATGGGAGATTGATAGTGAAGTTAAGAGCCCGTGGGATTCAAGGAAATTTGGCAAATTGGATCTACATTTGGCTGAAAGGCATTAGGCAGAAGATGGTGGTTGAAGGATGTTTTTCTGACTGGATGTCTGTGTCCAGTGGTGTCCCACAGGGGTCACTATTGGGCCCCCTAATTTTTTTCTGGTTTTTATATATAAAATTATACCTGAATGTATGGGGTTGTTTAGTAAGGTCACAGACACTACAAAAATGGAGTGGTAAATAGTGGAGAGGAGATAATGGTCTCGTGGTATTATCGCTGGACTGTTAATCCAGAGATCCAGATTCCATTCTGGGGACCCAGGTTTGAATCCTGCTACGGCAGACGGTGGAATTTGAATTCAATAAAAAATATCTGGAATTAAGAATCTAATGATGACCATGAATCGATTGTCAGGAAAAACCCATCTGGTTCACTAATGTCCTTTAGGGAAGGAAAGTGCCATCCTTACCTGGTCTGGTCTACATGTGACTCCAGACCCACAGCAATGTGATTGACTGACTCTAGACTGCCCTCTGGGCAATTAGGAATGGGCAATAAATGCTGCCTAGCCAGCAATGCCCTCATCCCATGAATGAATAAAGAAAATAAAGGATAGTCTTACACTCATCTGTATCCTCTTGCAGTCTATCTGATAGGTTGATCAATGGCAAATGGAATTCAATCCATATAAACATGAGGTGATGCATTTGGACTGGATACATAAGACAAGGGAGTACATGATGAATGATAGTGTTCTTGGAAGCTCTGAGGATCTGAGGGACGCACCTCAGATGTGTGTGTGTATGTACACCAGTCCATTAAGGTATCAGACAGTTGTATAAAGTGGTTAAGAAGACATTAGGTATACTTGCCTTTATTACTTTAGGCATAGATATTAAAAGCAAGAGGTTTATGCTGAACTCTATAAAAAATTGATTAGATCACAGCTAGAGTATTGTGTGCAGTTCTGGAATTCACATTGTAGGAGGGATGTGATAGTACTGGCTAGGGTGCAGAGGAGAGATTTATCAGAATGTTGCCTGGGCTGAAGTGTTTCTGTTATGAAGAGAGGCTGGACAGATTGGAATTATTTTCTTTAGAGCAGAGGATATTGAGAGGCGACCTTATTCAGATGTATAAAATTGAGGGTCATAGCTAGGCTAGACAGGAAGAAACTTTTCCCTTTGGTGGAGCATAGATTTAAGGTAAGGGGCAGAAGGTTTAGGTGAGATGGGAGGAAAAACCTTGTCATCCAGAGTAGTGGGAATCTAGAACTCACTGCCTGTAAAGGTGGTAGAGGCAGAAACCCTCATGACATTTAAGAAGCATTTAGATGTATTCTCGTGATGCCAAGCCATACAGGCCTATGGACAAAGTGCTGGAAAATAGGATTAGAATAATTAGGTGATTGCCTTTTACTGGCCGGACAGGATGGGCTGAAGGACATTTTCTGTGCTTTTGTGTAGATCTCTGACAATTACAGAATCATAATCATCATTAACTGGTATATTATCCATGGCAATGCCTCTACCAATCAATGTCCACTCGCCTATCAATTAGCACTCTTCTCCCATACAGTTTACACATCGATATTCTTGTGAAATGTTCTGATAAGTGCTTATTGAAAACTTCATCTAAATATGTTTACTTTTTGCAATACTCAAGTTGTGCACAACCAAATGACTAAAATTTTTTTCAAAAAAAACTGCATTAAACAGAAATAGAAATCTGTGATCATAACCATTTTTTTTTATCCCTTTTATAAAACACTAAATGATGAAATAGAGTATTGATTCTAGAGGGAAGAAGTCATTTGCTGTCAGGAGATTGGCCACTTTTTTTTGGCAGGATAATTTAAAAAACCCTTAGAAAGAAATATCAAATCCTTAATGAAAAATAAGAAACCTTCACATTCTTAACATGGCTTGATACATTCAGCAACATCTCCAAAACACTTGGCATGGAATGACTGTAAGGTGCAGTTGCTATTATAATGTAGACAAATGGCGGTCAATGTGTACACAGATCATAGAATCCCCACTGTGTGGAAGCAGACCATTCCATCCATCAAGTCTACGCTGACCCTCTGAAGAGCATCCCGCCCATACTCAACCCCCTATCCTATATTTTCCCATGGTTAGCCCACCTAGCCTGCACATCCCTGAACTCTACTGGGTAATCTAGCATCGTCAAACCAACTAACCTGCACATCTTTGGACCAGGGTAGGAAACCGGACCACTAGGAGGAAACTCAGACAGAGACTGGGAGATGTGCAAACTCCACGCAGACAAGTCGCCTGAGGCTGGAATCAATCCTGGGTGCCTGGTGCTGTGAGGCAGCAGTGCTAACCACTGAGCCAACTGGTCTCGTTCACATTTGTTTTTTGTTGTGCTCTGTGGGGTGTTCAATCATAGCCTATTATGCATGTTCACTCTAGGTGTTAGAAAGAAGTCTTGCATGTAATGTCGATTGTATTATTGTTCCAACAGTGTAAAGTTTATCATTGCTTATTCAAACCTGTGGAATTTAGTGACTTTATTTCCTTAGTAAGTCTCCTGAATCTCACCTTCTGCCAACTGTAAAAAATAAAGATTAAAAGGTAAAGTCACCATTGTCTTGCCAGGCCATTGGACTGCTCTCTCATTAGAGAGAGATGACAGATGGTGGTTTAACCTGAAGGTCACCATGCCTCAGGTGATGGAGGGGCTCAGAAGGAGAGTCCTTCATGGTAACCTCAGCCAGTGCGGGAATTAAACCCATGATGTTGGCATTGCAAACCAGCTGTCCAACCAACTGAACTAATTGACCCCCTTCCTGCCCAGCCAGATATACATTTGGAGGTCAGATTTGGGATTGTATCAGGCTCTGTGTCACACAGTTGCTCTCTGTCCCCTCGTTCTCACTCTGTCACTCCCCCCCGGCCCGCTACTTTAGAAATAAAACCAGTCTGACTCCAAACCAAAACATAAAGAGGTTCTAACCAAGGTCTCACACCTAATGTACATTGTCTGACCAAAAATGTCACCTCTTCTTTAGACTGATGATAAAACCTTTAGTTTTTTCAGGACAGTGACTTGAAAAGAATTCGAGGACTTAAGTATACATATTAATCAATTAAAACCTTCTAACTGATTAAAGATTTAACAGCATCTTAGGTTTGTTTAATACATCCTTATCAGTTGTGTAACCCATTGATCTTTTCCTGATAAACTGTGTCCAATACTACCTCTCTCACTAGCACCTGAAGGAGTGAGGCTCCGAAAGCTTGTGTTTTCAAATAAATCTGTTGGACTATAACCTGGTGTTGTGTGATTTCTGACCTTGTCTACCCCAGTCCAACACCGGCATCTCTACATCACACCAAATGATGCTTTTGTCTGCTGAAGTTAGTATAATAATAGAATCGTAGGGTGGTACCGTATACAATGAGACCATTGGGCCCAACGGCTATTTGAGATTAATTCCACGCCTCTGCTCTTTTGAAAATTATTATTGAATCTGCTTCCTTCTAAAACTATATTAGTCTTAGAGCTAATTAATATAGTGAAGATTTACTAGGATAATGCCTGGCCTTCAGGGGTTAAATTACAAAGAGAGATTACACAATCTGAGATTATCGTTTCAGTAATTTGGAATGTTCGAGTGATTTGTTCAATTTTGTTTAGATGTTAAGGGAAGTAGAGAGGGAGAGCTTATTCCTGCTGCTTGGAGACTCTCTGACTACTGGGGCATGACATATAAATGAGAGCCATACCTTTCAGAAATTAATTTTGGAAATGTTTCTGTGCACAAAGAGTAGTAGACATTGAAAACTTTTCCAAAAATCTAATTGATCAATTGCTAGTTTGAAATCTGAGGTTGTTAGATTCGCATTAACTAAAGGTATTCAGAGAGATATAGAGCAAAGATGGCTACATGGAGTTGTGATACAAATCAGCCCAGCTGTCCCTAAAGGCCAGAACAGTCTCAAGGAGCTGAATGGTCTCTCCCTGATTCTACGTTCCTATGTTTGAGGTGGTGGCTTCTAAATGATATTAACGCTCTGTGGACACGCATTTTTCCTTATGTTGCCTCTGCTTTTTTTTTTTTTTGCCAGTTAACTTGGTTCATAAAACTTCAATCTTCCTCATTCTGCAGGGACTTCCAGCACTGATGCATGGTGATAGCAGTGATGAGCCACTGGTAAGGTTTCAGAACTGTTGATGTATGTTATCCAACATAATAATTTCCAGGATATTAATCTAAATGAAGTACTTGTTTCTTTGTAGTGTCCCAATGCTTGCCCTCCAGGGCTGCAGGGCTATTCTGGACTTCCAGGAATGAAGGTAAGTGTCCAGCTAGTTTATCATGACAAAAATCTAAAGGTTTAGTATCGTAAATCATTAGATTTGATTGGAATGAATAATTGTCTCTAATTCATTCACCTCTTGATGTTTAGGGGCACAAAGGTGTGAAAGGAGAGGCTGGTGAACCAGGCAAACAAGGACATAAGGTATGAGAAGGTGTTCCTGCCGCTTTTGCCATGAGCCTGTACGAATGGCCTATAGTTCCTTCTGTTTGTTCCAATTGCAGTGGTACATCTATTCCAACAACTTAAAATCAAACCTTCAATTCATATTAAAATTACATATCAGCAATAGCAATTACTGGAAAAACTCAATTCTGAAGAAGAGTCATGGACCCGAAACATTAACCCTTCTTCCTTTCCACAGATGCTGCCAGACTTGCTGAGTTTCTCCAGCAATTTCTGTTTTTGTTTCTGATTTCTAGCATCCACTGTTCTTTGATTTTTAAAAATTACACTACTTTGGCATGAGCCAAGCATCAAATCTTCTCTTCATTGATTGTAAGATTCGCCGGACCTGGATGAAATGAAGATGGTTTGTTTAATATTTCCATGACATGCCTTAACAAATTTGGATTTTGTTTTGCAAATGCTTGCACAGCATTAATATTGTGAGTTTCTATCCTGTAATCTCTTTACATACGCCATTTTTTATGGTGTTAGAATGGGAAATTTGCAGACAGGAAACTCAAACCAAGGAGTTGCCTGAATGATTACAGATGAAATCACTTCAATGATAAGAAAAGATATCTTCCTCTCTTCAGTAGTCCCTCGAGATTGAGGATAACTTTCTTCCACTCTAGTCTGTTTTTTCCTTCATAGATGCTGCCAGACCTGCTGAGCTTTTTCAGCAACTTTGTTTTTGTTCCTGATTTACAGCATCTGCAGTTCTTTTAGTTTTTATTAGGCTCCAATAAGAGGATGTTTTCCAGCCCACATGTCTTCACTCAATGCCAATATGAATGGCAAGGTATTGTACGGAATAATATAAGTTGTAAACGTATTAGCGTATAATTGGCACAATCAGATGATTATTTACATGCAAACAATACAAGGGGGGAATCTGTCCCACCTGTCTTCACTCAATGCCAAGTACAACCATGTGAATGGCAAGGTATTGTATGAAATAATATAAGCTGTAAACATATTAGCATATAACTGGCATAATCAAATGATCACTTACATGCAAAGAGTACAAATGGGGAATCTGGTCTTGATGCTCTCCAGATAAGAAGCTAAGCATGTTGGAACTCCTAGGCAATGGTGTCTTCAATTTATTTTCCACTTACAGTTCTACAAAGTCATCTTGAACAGTGTCCAAGTTAAGGCTAGTGAGCCAAAACTGATGAATATGGCCAGTGTCTCCTGAACCACTGCTAAATTTATAGATTTCCCAGTTCCCATACAGTTTTATTCCTGTTGTCAATTCAGTGGCAATGGACCTCCTTCTGCATGATACGATTTTGTCCTTGTTGCTTTGAACTGTGTCACAGTTCCTTAGTCATTCTGTCTGTGAATGACTCAGAAACTTGCTCATGTTGCTCATTCCACTCTGCTTTGTTTTTGTCTTTTAGGGTGAAGAAGGAGAACAGGGAGTTTCTGGAGAATTAGGTGCTCAAGGCCCACCAGTAAAGTATTTCACTCTTCAAATATATCTTGTGATGTTGTAATTGGAAACTTGGGGCTGATTTCCCATTTTCACCAGCAGAGATCAAACAGGTGATCTCCGATTAACTGCTCATTTTGCACAGCCCCCACCCCTGCTGTGGAAATAAATGGATGCTGTACAAGGGGAGGCTGATCTACTATCCCGTGTTCCATTTGGACTTGCAGATCATCATAAAAATCTGCCAATTAGAGTCTATTTTTAATGATTTTATAATGACCCTGGGTCTCTGTAGCTGTGCATTACTGCATTATACTGAAAGTATTTAAATATTTAAGATTCTTAAGGCAATGGAAAGGGCTCTTATGGTAGTGGTAGTGATAGTATCCCTACCTCTAAGCCAAGAGGCCTGGCTTCAAGTCCCACCTTTTCCAGTGGTATGTAATAACAACTCTGAACAGGTTGATTAGAAAAATACCTTAAGTCAACGGACTTTCTGAATTATGGTTGAAAATGCCACATACTCTTGTGCTAGGAGGGAAGATGCACAGTAGGATTCTGGGTAATCCAAGATGGAGGACAGGAAAAGTTTGTGGCTGTAAGATCTGTTCCTTTTTTTTTTGAGGTATTTTCAGTGTTAGAGTTGATTTCCTTGAATTCTTGGAGCAGTAAGTGCTGTTTTATAAGATGTTGCTTTGCTTTGGAAATTTCGACCAAAAAAATCAAAACAATGGCACTTTAAAAAGGAGGAAGAATGACCACATAGGAAGTGAAAACAAGGGAGAAATAAACCTGCACAGCTGTCTGACCCAGCAGTGAACGTGAACAGTTGACTGCCTCTGCTGTTTGGTTTCAAGTATCTCTGGACATCGGAGTTCATCCATGAAAAATAATAAAACAGTGAAATTCACAGCTGACCTTGGAGAAACCTGTATGGGGAAGTTCACAGCAGGGAACAGCTAAGTGGCTAGTTTTAAAGTATAACGATAATTTTTTTTTTTTGTAAATCTACTTTAGTATTTAGAGTGGGTTCTTTTTTGATTGATTGATTGTGTTTTTGAGGTCTGTCTTACGATTAAACTTATAAAAATATAAAACGTAGGTGCGAATTCAGCCTGGAATAATATTTTTAGAACAGTAAGACTGTGCTATTTTCTGGGTTTGTATATTGTTAAGGTGCAAAGATGGCCTTTAGTAGAGTGATATGCACTTGCTGTCAGATGTGGGAAATTAGGGAGAGATTCCATGTTACTGATGATTATGTCTGCAGGAAGCCTGCTTCATCACGGATCCTATTGGATCGCGTGGATCGGTTGGAGCAGCAGTTAGAGGCAATGAGGAATTTACAGGAGCTAGGGGGTGTGATGGATGGCAGCTGCAGGAAGAGAGAAAATCCACGGGTACAGTCAGACAGATGAGCTGTTTCCAGGAAAGGTAGAGAAGAAGGCAGGTAGAGCAGGAGTCTCCTGTGGGGCTATCCCCATCTGAAACAAATATGCTGTTTCGGAAATTTAGGGGATGATGGACACTCAGGGGAATGTAACACTGACAGCCAGGTTTCTGGTACCGTGACTGGCTCTAATGTAATGGAGGGGGTACGTCAAGTTTTGAGCGATCAATTGTGAAAGGGGACATTTTAGTCAGAGGCACAGACTGATGTTTCTGCACCCGACAGCAAGACAACTGAATGGTGTGTTGCTTCCCTGGTGCCAGAATCAAGGATATCTTGGAGAGGGTGCAGAATATTCTCGAAGAAGAGAGTGATCAGCAGGAGGTTGTTGTACACCTTGGAATTGATGATATAGAAAGAGACAAGGACAAGATTCTGAAGAGAGAATATAGGAAGTTAGGCAGGAATTTAAAAAGGCGGTCCTCAAGGGTAATAACACCTAGATTACTCGTGCCATGAGCTAGTGAGGGTACGAATAGGATGATCGAACAGATGAATACATGGCTGAGGAGCTGGTGCAGGGGAGAAGGATTTACATTTTTGGATCATTGGAATCTCTTCTAGAGAAGAAGTTACCTGTATAAGAAGAATGGATTGAATCTGAAGTGGAAGGGGATTAATATGCTGGCAGGAAGATTTGCTGCAGCTGCTCAGGAGGATTTAAACCAGCAAGGTGTGGGGGTGGGGGCTGTGGGAGGGGTGTGTTGGTTGTGGGACCGGGGGCAATCAGTCGGAGGCTGGTGCAGTTGGGAAAAGGAGCAAGTCAAACAGTTAGGGCAGGCAAGAACAAGGCAGAGAAGGAGGTAGGACTGATAAATTAACTGCATTTATTTCAGTGCTATAGGCCTCAGGTAGGGCAGATGAACTCAGGGCATGGTTGGGAACATGGGATTGGGATATCATAACAATCACAGAGACATGGCTCAGGGATGGGCAGGACTGGCAGCTTCATATTTCAGGGTATAGATGCTATAGGAACGGTAGAAAGGGGGACAAGAGAGGAGGAGAGTGACGTTTTTGATTAGGAATAACATAATGGCTGTACCTGGGGAGGATATTCCTGGGAATACATACACGCAAGTAATTTGGATGGAACTTATCATCTTATTAGGATGGTACTATAGACCCCCCAATAGTCAGTGGGAAATTGAGAAGCAAATTTGTAAGGAGATCTCGGTTATCTGTAAGAATAATAATAGGGTGGTAATGATAGGGGACTTTAACTTTCCAAACATAGACTGCTACTGTCATAGTGTTAAGGGCTTGGACGGAGAAGAATTTAAGCATGTACAAGAAAATTCTCTGATTTAATTTGTGGATGACCCTAATAAAGAAGATGCAAAACTTGACCTACTCTTTGGAAATAAGGCTGAGCAGGTGACTGAGGTACCAGTACCATAATTCTCTTAGTTTTAAAATAGTGGTGGAGAAAGATGGATCGTATCTGAAAGTTCCAGTTCTAAATTGGAGGAAAGCCAATTTTGACTGTATTTAGGCAAGAACTTCCAAAAGTTGATTTGGGGGCGGATGTTCTCAGGTCCAGGGAAGGCTGAAAAATGGGAAGCCTTCAAAAATGAGATAACAAGAGTCCAGAGACAGTATGTTCCTGTTAGGGTGAAGGGCAAGGCTGGTAGGTGCTGAGAATGCTGGATGACTAGAGAAATTGAGGTTTTGGTCAAGGAAAAAGAAGGAAACATATGTCAGGTATGGTCAATAGGAATAGAGTGAATCCCTAGAAGAGTATAAAGATAGTAGGAGTCTATTTAAGAGGGAAATCAAGAGGGCAAAAAGGGGATATGAATTTGCTTTGGCAAACGGTTAAGGAGAATCCAAGGGGGTTCTACAAATACATTAAGGACAAATGAGAAAATAGGGAGACAGTAGGGCTTCTGGAAGATCAGCAAGGCCACCTAAGTTTGGAACTGCAGAAGATGGGGAAGATGCTAAATAAGTATTTTGCATCAGTGTTTGCTGTGGAGAAGGATATGGAACATAGAGAACTTGGGGAAATAAATAGTGACATTTTGAAAAATGTCCATATTACAGGTGTTGGATGTCTTAAAATGCACAAATTGGATAAATCCCCTGGATTAAGGGCGGCACAGTGTCTTAGTGGTTAGCACTGCTGCCTCACAGCGCTAGGGACCCAGGTTTGATTGCAGCCTCGGGCAACTGTCTGTGTGGAGCTTGCACATTCTCCCTGTGTCTATGTGGGTTTCCTCTGGGTGCTCCAGTTTCTTCCCACAATCCAAAGTTGTGCAGGCTAGGTGGATTGGCCATGCTAAATTGGCCGTAGTGTTCAGGGATGTGTAGATTAGGTGGGTTATAGGCTTATGGGTCTGGGTGGGATGCTCTGAGGGTCGGTGTGGCCTTGTTAGGCCGAAGGGCCTGTTTCCACACTGTAGGGATTCTATGATAATGATATGATAACCTGATCAGGTGTTCCGTAGAACTCTGTGGGATGCTAGCAAAGAGATTGCTGGGCCCCTTGCTGAGACGTTTGTATCATTGATAGCCACAGGTGAGGTGCTGGAAGACTGGAGGTTGGCTAATGTGCCACTATTTAAGAAAGGTGGTAAGGAAAAGCCGGAGAAATGAAGACCCATGAGCCTGACATCAGTGGCAGGCAAATTGTTGGAGGGAATCCTGAGGGACAGGATTTACATGTATTTGGAAAGGCAAGGACTGATTAGGAATAGTCAACACGGCTTTGCATGGGAAATCGTGTCTGACTTGATTGCTTCTTCAAAAAACTCAATGAAGAGGATTGAGGGCAGAGCAGTGGATGTGCTCTTTATGGACTTCAGTAAGGTGTTGGACAAGGTTCTTGGTTAGCAAGATTAGGTCACATGGAATACAGGGAGAACTAGCTATTTGGATACATAACTGGCTCAAAGGTAGAAGACAAAGGGTAGTGGTGGAGGGTTGCTTTTCAGACTGCAGACCTATGACCAGTGCTGTGCTACAGTGATCAGTGCTGGGTCCACTGCTTTTTGTCATTTATATGAATGATTTGGTTGTGAACATAGGAGGTATGGTTAGTATGTTTGTAGATGACACCAAAATTGGAGATGTAATGGACAGCGAAGAAGGTTACTTCAGAATACAATGGGATCTTGATCAGATGGGCCAATGGGCCAAGGAGTAGCAGATGAAATTTAATTTAGTTAAATTTGAGGTGCTGCATTGTGGAAAGGCAAATCAGGGCAGGACTTATACACTGAAGGTAAGGTCCTGGGGTGTGTTGCTGTACAAAGAGTGCAAGTTCATAGCTCCTTGTAAATGGAGTTGCAGGTAGACAAGATAGTCAAGAAGCCATTTGGTACGCTTGCCTTTATTGGTCAGTGCATTGAGTACAGGAGCTGGGAAGTCCTGTTGCAGATGTACGGGACATTGGTTAGGCCACTTTTGGAATATTTTATGTAAATCTGGTCTCCCTGCTATAGAAAGGATATTGTGAAACTTGAAAGGGTTCATAAAAGATTTTAAAAGGATGTTGGCAGGGTTGGAGGTTTTGAGCTATGGGGCGAGGCTGATTAGGTTGGGGCTATTTTCCCTGGAGCATCGGAGGCTGAGGGGTGACCTTTAGAGGTTTATAAAATCATGAGGGGCATGGATAGGGTGAATAGCCAAGGTCTTTTTGCCGGGGTGGTGGAGTCCAAAACTAGAGGGCATAGGTTTAAAGTGAGAGGGGAAAGATTTAAAAGGGACCTAAGGGACAACATTTTCATGTGTGTGATGCATGCATGGAATGAGCTGCCAGAGGAAGTGGTGGAGCCTGGTACAATTGCTACATTTGGATGGGTATATTAATAGGAAGAGTTTAGAGAGATATAGGCCAAATGCTGGCAAGTAGGACTAGATTTATTCAGGACATTTGGTCGGCATGGATGAGTTGGACCGAAAGGTCTGTTGCCTTGTTGTTCAGCTGTAAGACTCTATGACTCTGGACAGTGTGGATACTTAAATTTTTATGGAACTGGAACAGAAATTATGAATCATCAGTTCCAATTCTAATGCTGTCAATTTATGGCCTAACATTAGAAAATTGCTATGAAAGCTGTTGGATTGTCACAGCAACTAGCATTTTTACTTATGCCCTCCAGGGACTGTTACTCAGTTCTGTTCACATGTGACTCCAATCCCAGGGTATGGCTGACTCTTAAAGTCTCGGGGGAATGGGGATGGGCAATTCTGCTTCTGTGGATCAGAAGTTGAAAAAATTATTTCCAAGATATTGGGTGGAATTTTCTGTTGATGGTGAACTTGGAGGTAGGAAGGTCTACAATCCTCTACTAAGGCTTCTTGCCTCCATCAGAATTAGGTTCTGGGTGGGAAGGCTCACAATGAACCTTCACAACCCAATTAACAATCACGCAAGGCTTGACTTAACTCATGAAGTGTATATGACAGCTGAGACTGTATGGGATACTCTTCACCTCAGGGTGGTGGTGGGATGTTATTGGGGTGCAGGTGGGAGGCCCCTCAATCAAAGGCACTTAGTGCCTCGTCAAGAGATTGGATGTTGGGAGTGGGGGTAATTGGGTTTCTCTGAGAGCCATACTCCTGCCTTTTATTCTGAGTGACTTTAGTCCCCACCTTTGAAATTTTTTTCCCCTACCCATAAACATTATTTACATGTGATCTGGGTCACTCCTCCGTTCTGGGAGTCTGGAATTGAATTAAATATTTGCTGATTTTAGTCTTCAACTCAATTGGTTGCTTATTTGTTTTTGTGTGAGAGTGATCACTTGGGGCAAAGCACCTCCTTCACTGTTGGCAGTAAGGCAGTAGCCTACATTGTTGTGTACAAGTGCCGGAGAGGCGTGATTTGAATCCACAAACTTCTGACCTGGATACAATTGTGTTACCAACTGAACCACAGTTAGCAGTGATCCTGCAAAAAATTTTACTCAGTTAGACAACTGGAACAAAGAAATTAAAACTGACCACAATAGTTCTAATAGTTTCTTGTTAAAACAGCAAGTAATTATAAGAAGTTTTCTTGTCAACTTTAGGGTATTCAAGGTCCTAGAGGTTATGCTGGTCTGGATGGACAAAAGGGTGATATGGTAAGCTAAACTGATGAAAATCGTTAAGCTCAAACACTGCCTCAGTTTCTATCTCATTAACTTGCAATTTGTATCTTTCTGTGCCAAACTTCTTCTGACTCAGTGCCACTTTCACAGAAAGCTGCAGACATGGCCGAGCAGATTTTAAAATTGAATTTGTAACTTCCTTCCAGAGAAATTAAAGAGGGTTAAGGAAGGTTATATCTTATAAATTTCAATGAGATTACTTCCCATTCTTTTGCCACAACTCTTCTTGTGAGGCCACCTCTTCAGTCAGGTAAACCTTCTCCGAACTGCTTAATATATCCTTTCATAAGTCAGGGGACTAGAACTCTACAAGTACTCCAAATATGGTCTTATGAAAGGCTCTGTATAGTTGTAACAACACTTCCCTTCATTTATGCTATTGTTTCCCTCGCAATGAAAGCTAGCACTCCATTTGCCCTCCTAATTACATGCTGTACCAACATGTTAATGTTTTGTAATTCATGTAGTAAAACATCCAAATCTAAGTTCTGCAATCTCTCTCCATTTAAATGATATGCTGCTTTTCTATTCTTCTTGTCAAAGTGAACAACTTCACATTTTCCCATATTATGCTCCATGTGCCACATTTTTGCCCACTCAACCTCTCCATAATTTCTTTGCGCATTTCTTTTTATTTATTTATTTTCATTTATGTGGTGAGGGTCACTGGGTATTACCCTTTCCTGGTTGCACTTGAGAAGGTAATGGTGAGCTGCCTAGAGCTATTGTAGTCCATGTGCTGTTAGGACGGGAGTTCCAGGGTGTTGACCCCATGGCACAACTTACTGTCCTACCCATGTTTGTGTCATCAGCAAATTTAGTTATCACATGCTCAGTCTCTCCATTTGCCATTAAGGTGTTTCATAAACAATTGAATTCCAGCACTAATCCCTGCTGCAGTCTGCCAGGTACACTTCCCAACATAAAGATGAGCCAAAACTTTGCTTCCATTTAGCTAACAATCCTCCATCCATGAAGAAACGTGCTCTGATTGTGTGCAATAATTTTGGTGTGCACCTTATTAAATGCATTTTTTAAAATCCAAATACATCACCTCTGTTGGTTCTCCATTATCTATCCTGCTTGTTCTACATCTTAATAATGGATTCTAGCATTTTCCCTATGACAGACATTAAACCAACTCTCTGTAGTTTCCCGCTCTCTGTCTCCCTCCTTTCTTGAATAGAGGTATTACATTTGTCATATTCCAGTCCCCTGGGACCTTCCCAGAATCTCTCAAATCTTGGAAGATTACTACCAATGCAGTCGTTTTTTCAAGTTGTTAGGAATTAGGTGGTCAGGTCCATGGGGACTTGTCAACTTTCAATCCAATTAGTATTACCAGTACATTTTCCCAGCGATTGATTGTTTTCAGTTCCTTCTTTATTCCTCTTGATTTTCGACTAGTCTTAGGGTATTCTTGTGACTTCTGCAATGAAGACAAAAAATGTGTTCAGTGCTTCCCAAACTTCTTGTTTCCTAGCATTAATTCCCCAATCTCAATCAGTAAGGGACAAATGCTCACTTTAGCTTCTTTCTTCATTTTTAAATAGCTATAGAAACTCTTTATTTCTCGTTAGTTTTGTCCAATATTCTAACCTACTACTAGTCTTTGCAGTATTTTATGCATTTTCTTTCAACATAACCTCCTTGGGTGGCCATGAAGTGTTCGAGAATTAATTACGATTTGCAGAAAAGGTTTAAACTTCCGCCACCCTTTGCATAAACGCATAAATCACAATTTCATCCCTGAAAAATCTAGCTCCAATAGTTAGATTACATCGTACCCCCACCATCGCTGAATTGTGGGCAATACAGCAATAGTTTGTGTAATCTACCTTATTATACATTTAGTGTTAAGGTATCACTCTGGTAAACCTACAATGCACTCCCTCTAAGGCCAATATCCGTTGCTTGAGGTATGATGCTCAGAACTGCTCCCAGAAACTCCTGGTGTGGTTTAACCAAGGCTTTGTAAAATGGAGTCTAAACTCTTGGGGCAGTACGCTAAGCTTTCCTGTATAACCCTGTAATGCTGTAAAACCCAATTCTTATTTTTTTTTTTTTGAAATGTATAGTTCTGTACTTTTGTTTCTGCTTGTGGAGCAATCACTCCTGTTGTGCTACAGCAGCATGTCTGTGTGTGTGTGTGTGCAGAAGATGCCAGGCTGTGAATCATTTGTTTCTCTCCACAGAAGTATTTATTCAGGTAGAGGATGATGCTGTTATTTATTGGTTTACATGTCATTGTCCTACAAAAGTGAATTTTGGGGCCAGTTCCATGACAGATATCAGGGGCAGTTACTCATCTGTCTGTATGTTTCACAATGAGTTAGCTCCCAACTTGCAAAATTTCCAGCGCCAATAATTTCCAAATTCAAATGAAATGTCCTACTGAGCACTGCAGCTGGTGTGAAAGCCAAGCAGAGTGAAAGTATTTTCTTAATTTTCATTCAGCTTGCCTGCTGGTGTCAATAGGTGTAAAAATTCAAGAGCAGAAGTTACAGAGAATTGATTGGGAATTCATTCTTGCTGATTCTGTGAATGTTGGCTATGAAGTATTATGCTTACCTTTATACTTAAGATAATTGATTGAGTAGAATGTTGAGCTGAGTTTTGAGTGGTGTTGGCAGCCAAATGATCAAATAGGGGTGACTATATTTAGTGGAGTACTTTTGTTGCAGATTTACCATGTTCCTTCACTGCCACAGAGAACCAAAAGTCAGCAAATATATTATTTTGATACATGACAGCTGATTCAATAAATGGTGCTACCAGTTGGAAGTGTTTTAACTGGTTCTCACTGCAGCAGATTGTACGCAAGCTCCATTATAATTATGGTCAGAGATTGCTATACAAAAGAACAAAGGTAGTGAATATGTAAATTTTGAAGTTCATAACGCTGTCAAAAGATTAATTATTGGATATTTTTCCTTCTAAAACAATCTTCTTGGCTTATTTCTCCAGGGTCTTCGTGGATTGGATGGTGAACCTGGTGGTTTCGGTCCTATTGGTTCACCTGTAAGTAATGCGTATGTAACTGGTCTTTCTTATTTAGCCAGCAGGTGGTGTGAATGTAAAACTCTCTACCTCAGGGAATTGTGCAGGCAAATAGCATAGATGCAGTTCAGGGAAGCTCAACAAGTGCATGAAACAGGAAGAAATAGGAAATTATGCTGAGAGGAAAGACAAAATAGCATTGGGAGGAAGACAACAAAGGTACAGAGCTGGATGAACACAGCAGGCCAAGCAGCATCATAGGAGCAGGAAGGCTGACGTTTCGGGCCTAGACCCTTCATCAGAAATGGGGGAGGGGAAGGGGATTCTGAAATAAATAGGGAGAGATGATGAAGGGTCTAGGCCTGAAACGTCAGCCTTACTGCTCCTATGATGCTGCTTGGCCTGCTGTGTTCATCCAGCTCTGCACCTTTGTCTCAGATTCTCCAGCCTCTGCAGTTCCTACTACCTCTGATTCAGCATTGGGAGGAAGCTCAGATTGAGAATAAACTGCACCATTTGGCTTCAGTGGCCTCTTTAGTGTTATGCGGTCTATATGCTTCAATGTTACCACATCATTCTGATTATTGTGGTTAGCTTTATCATTGTTACTGTGTCCAGCTGGCACTATCATCACTTCTGGGAGCTCGCCATTGTATTAAAGAGAGGAAGATCTTGCATTTAAATAGCACCTTTCACATCACTAAATACTTCTTGGCTCACTAAATTTGTGTACTTATTGTAACCTATGGAATAGATCTGTGCATAGCAATATCCCACAAGTGACAGTATGATAAATGAGCAGCACATCTGTTCATTAGTGATCCTAGTGGGGCAGCGGAGGGGGGAGGATGGGGGGAACGATAGGGTCACTAGGGAAAACAAAATTTAATCCAGTCGGTTGGTAGTGAAGGAGTGAAGGGACTAAGGCAGTGTTCTGAGGATGGAAACGTGTGATCTTTATAATGAAGAGTGGTGTAGCATTGTGAAATTAACCTCTTATTCCACAGTCTCCTCATGAGTTCTATTTATACTATAGCTCACGAAAAGTTTCACTGTTAATGTCCATGTTAAATCTGACTGAAAGTGATGTGTATATTGCTGTGTTGATCCTGTGCTGTGACTGTGGACAGAGTGCTGCTTCTGAGTAATTTTGTGAATTTCCAAAATAGATTACTTGGAAATTGTGATATCACATTGTGTTAGTTGAGTTCCAAAATGACCGCTCATTAATTTATAGCCCCAAAGGTAATAAATTAAATTGAAATTGTCGATTTGTTAAATATGTCCTTGAACAAAAACTGCTAATGTGCTGACAATGTACGTAAAACATTAAATTATACAGCACCTTGTGTCTTCAGGATATCTCAATGCCTTTTCAGCTAATGAAGTACTTTTGAAGTGTAGTCATTTGTTGATTCAGGTTAGTAGCTAATTTGTACATATGATAAGGTCAAATCTTATTTTAGCACTGTAAAATAGTGCCCGGGACACAGGTTCAATTCCAGCATCGGTTCTGTGTGGAGTTTGCGCATTCTCCCCACGTCTGCCTGGGTTTCCTCCCACACTCCAAAGATGTGCAGGTTAGGTGGATTGGCCATGCTAAATTGCCCATAATGTCTAGGGATGTGCAGGCTAGCCAAGGGAAATGCAGGGTAATGGGATAGGGTGGGGTGGTGGGTCTGGGTGGGAGGCTCTTTGGAGGCATGATGTGGACTCAATGAGCTGAATGGCTTGTTTCCATGCTGTAGTGGTTTATGATTCTGATTCTAGAATGATTGAATGCAAATCTCTGCTTGAGCTCGCAACCTTCAGCACACTGCGCCAACCGCAATGATGTTGCAGTCTATATGCTGTAGATAACAATGATGTTAGGTAGGGAGTTCCAGGATTTTGACCCACTGACACTGAAGGAATGGTCACGTTTCCAAGCAGGACAGTGTGTGGCTTGGAGGGAACTTGCAGATATTAGTGTTCCCACGCATCTCCTGTTGCTGGTCATATTTGAGGGTTTGGAGTTTGCTGTCTCAGGAGAATTGGTAAACATCTGCAGTACATCTTGTTGATGGTACACACTGCTGCTAATGACTTGTGTCCTGCACATGGTAGACAGGCTTTGGGGAATCGCAGGTGAGTTCTTCACAACATGATTCTTAGCCTCTGTCTTACTCTTGTAGCCATTGTATTCATATAACTAGTCCAGTCCAGTTTCTGGTCAATGGTATGAGAGTGAATTGTAAGTTAGTGAAGGTTTGTAATCTTCAAACATGCTTGGTGTAACAAACAAATATATTAAAGAGTTAATTAGTTGAAGTGAAATGTTTGGGTTTGTGTTTACGAAGTCATTTCATGTTAATAATCAGAAAATCTCAAGGATGTTGCATTCCTGATCATGAGTATTACTTGAGCATTTGTCCAGAAAGGTGTACACCAGTAGTAGCCACTGAATGGGTTTGTCCTATTAGAGATTTTAAGAAAAAGTAATACAGTTTTCAGTCAGATGTATAGCATTATTGTCACAGCATAGTATTTTGTCAAGGTAATGCATGCAGCAAGGCTGCAGTCCACGTGATGACTATTTAATAATTTGTGAAATATATGTGACAATTCTCCGTTCTTTTTCAGGGAGATGTCGGCCCTCAAGGTCCTCTGGGTGAGCCTGGCCCTAAAGGTGATCCTGTAAGTCACATCACGTTATTCATTACTTTTCTCAAGTGTGTGTACTTTTCACCTCAGATAAAAGATGTTCACCCACATTAGGTCACTGACACATTCACTTTGTAACTGTGAAGGAATTAAAAGTTTTTTTTTGTAATTGAGAAAAGAACCAGTGACTACATGAGGAAAACATACAGGAAGTTATGATAAACTGCAAAAGCTTTCTGAAAAAAGCAAATCAATAATAAAGTTCGAATGGAACTTGGATAAATATTTAATGAAAGAAATTTTCAGAGTTATGGGAAAAATGCATGTGAATGGAACTAATTGAAGAGCTCTTTTAAAGCTCTAGTCATACATGATGGGCTGAACAGCTTCTTTCAGAGCTATATCGCTCTGATGTGTAGACATAAAATAAAAATGTATTCTTGAGCCTTATTCATTTTCTTTCTTAAGCTAACTCATCATCCTACATATTGGTTTCCAATTTGTCTTGTGGTTTGCCCTTTGCAATGAGCTTTGTCATCAGAGCCTCCACTGGAAGCTTTAATACAGAGGTCAGCATAGCCTGCTGTCCATGGGAAATGTAACATAGCCTCCTGATGTCCACTCGTCTGATTTACATGTCCAATGTGTGAAGCTGTGGGAAACTCTCAAAACTGACCTGACCTGTCTGTTTTATTTGATCTGCAGGGTCGCCCTGGTCCCAGAGGAATTACAGGGTCCCCAGGATCAAAAGGAGAGCCCGTGAGTATTTCTTCATCAGTTTTCTTATCTATTTATCAGAAGTCATAGTTTTAGCACTTATCTTATTGAACTGCTATCGCTTTGTCTGAAAAGTCCATCTTGAACATCAATTATATTAAAATGCAACTGCAAGTTTGGAAAAACAAGACAAGTCTAGAAATCTGAAATTAAAAGAAATCTAGAGAGGGTATGGTGGCCAAGGGAGTACACACATGTAAAGGGAAGTGATGTACTAATGTTCTGAAATAAAAACAGAAAGTGTGAGAGAAACTCAGCAGATATGGCATCACCTGTGGGGAGAGAAACAGAAGTAATGTTTCATGACCAACATGACTCCTCTTCAGAACTCTAGAAAAATTCATATGATTTGAAACACTAACTCTGTTTTTCTTTCTCCAAAGATGGTCCAGATCTGTTGAGTTTATCCAGCACTTACTGTTTTTATTTCAGATTTCAAGCATTAACGCAATTTTAATTTTATGTTAATGATTTGGCTGTGAATACTTTACTAAAATTGTCCCATCCCTGAGGCATGAACTTATGTCTCTCTCACCAGATAAGGATTGAACATTGCATTTATTTTCATGCCAATTTGGTGCTTCCTTGTCCCCTGTACACAATGTAGAGTTCATTTGCATAATCAGTTGAGTTCACTGTGCTACCATTTCTAAAGAGCCTTGCGTGTTCTGTATTAGGGATTACCAGGTGTTGATGGACGGGATGGTATACCTGGAATGCCTGGATCGAAGGTAAGATGGAAATCTTCCAATTTCTTTCGGAAACATTTTGTCCCGTTCTTCGATTTGAAGTTTGGAACCTTCCTTCTTTACTTTCTTCGTAGGGTGAAGCTGGCAAACCAGGAGCTCCGGGTGAGGCAGGATCTCTAGGTTTACCTGTAAGTATAACTTCTGTGTACAACTTAACATCAACTGCAGGAACACCTAAGGTTCAGAGTGGATCTGTGGGGAATCATTAGTCTGCCCAAACAGTTGGAGTTTTGACAGTTTCTGTCCTCATTTGGAGCACTTTGGTAGTCTGCAACTCACATATGAAGAAAAAAACCAAGATGCCCTCACTATAGGGAGCAGTCAAACCCAAGCAGGCATCAAGTGTGGAATGAGTGAAGATGGCTGAGAAGGAAGGTATCGTGGAGGCTTTTGAAGAGGGACACTAAGTGCGATAGAGGAAAGGAGTTGGTCACGCAAGTAGATAGTTTGGTAAAGAAGACATATGGCATGCTTACTTTTTTTGGTTGGGTGGCACAGTGGCTCAGTGGTTAGCACTGCTGCCTCACAGCACCAGGGACCTGGGTACAATTCCACCCTCAGGCGACTGTCTGTGTGGAGTTTGCACATTCTCTCCGTGTCTGTGAGGGTTTCCTCCGGGTGTTTGGTTTCCTCCCACAGTCCAAAGATGTGCAGGCTAGGTGGATTGGCCATGCTAAATTGCCTGTAATGTTCAGGGATGTGTACATTGGGGAATGAGTCTGGGGGGGATGCTCTGATGGTTGTTGTGGATTTGTTGGGCCGAAGGACCTGTTTCCACACTGTAGGGATTCTATGATTCTATGAACGGAGTACGAGAGTCAGGATGTCATGTTGCTGCTTTATAAGACTTTGGTTAGGCTACGCTTAAAGTATTGTGTTTGGTTCTGCTCACCAACTTACAGGAACAATGTGGAGGCTTTGGAAAGGGTGCAGAAGCGGTTTACCAGGATACTGCCAGGATTAGAGGATACGAGCTCTAAGGAGAGGCTAGAAAACTCTGGTTGTTTTCTCTTGCGTGGTGGAGGCTGAGGGGAGACTTGATAGAAGTCTATAAAATTATGAGATGCATAGATAGGATTGACAGTCAGAATCTTTTTCCCAGAGTTGAAACGTCTAACACTAGGAGTCATGCATTTAAGGTTAGAGGGGGCAAGTTCAAAGGAGATATGAGGGGCAAGTTTTGTGCACTGAGTGGTAGGAGTCTGGAGTGCACTAACAGGGATGGTAGTGGAGGCAGATATGATAAGGGCATTTAAGGGACTTTTGGACAAGCATATGAATATGCAAGGAATATGGACCAAGGGCAGGCAGAAGGGATTAGTTGCATTTGGCGCCCTGCCTGATACAACATCTTGGCCAAAGAGTCCGTTCCTGTGCTGTACAGTTTGATGTTCTATGGCCTATGTTCTATGAGTGTATGAAGAAGAGAAAGGTGACACTCTACCACTGGTGGTGGAGGGGAGAATGGGCATTAGTTTCATGGGTGCAGGGCTGGAGGAGGAAACTGAAATTTGGTGCAAAGAGAGATGCAGAAGAGGATGAGGATTGTACCCTAAAAGATAACAAGCCTACGTTGGGGATGGGAGTCTAGTGAAGTGATTTTGTGTGGAACAAGGGGCATTTTCTCAGGACAAAAGCAAGAAAGAATTGGGAAATTCAATTCTGTAATGGCAGAGATACCTCAGGATTTCATTCATAGTGGGGAAAAACATGGGGATGGAGATCTGGGTTATTTCTCAGGTTCATATTATGTTGGACTGGATGTTGGGCAAGGAAGATACCAGGCCATGTGTCATTGGGCTCGAGTTTTTAAAATTTACTCTTATGTGATATGAACATCACTAGTGATGCCAGCATTTTGCGTCCATCCTTTAACATCTTGAACTGAGTAATTTGTTCAGCTTTTTTAAGAAGGCAGTCAAAAATCAACCGTGTTGCTGTGGGTCTGGAGTCGCATGTAGGCCAGACCAGTTAAGAATGGAATATTTCCTTGCTTAAAGGACATTTGTGAATCAGATGGGGTTTTATGACAATTGTTGATGGTTTCATGGCCACCAGTTACCGTGTAGAACCCATTTGAACCCATATCCCCAGGGCATTGATTGGGACACCTAGTTTTCTGCTCCTATTTTACTACTACTCCACCATCTCCCCTAAAAATTGTTGTGGGCAACCAACATAGAAGCATAGAAAATACAAGCAGAAGTACGCTATATGGCCCTTTAAATTTCACAGAATCCCTGCAATGTGGAAGCAGGCCCTTCAGCCCAACAAGTCCACACTGACCCTCAGAGCATCCCACCCAGATCCATCCCGCATAAGCCACCTAACCTAAACAGTCCTGGGCACTATGGGCAATTTAGCATGGCCAATCCACCTAGCCTGCACATTTTGAGGTGGGAGGAAACCGGAGCACCCAGAGGAAACCCACGTAGACACGGGGAGAATGTGCAAACTCCACACACAGTCACTGAGGGCGGAATCAAACCCGGGTCCCTGATGCTGTGAGACAGCAGTGCTAACCCTGAGCCACCGTGCCGCCCCCAAACTGCTCACATCTCGACTATTCAACAGAATCAGTGGATAAATGCAGAGTGTCTGGTCGAGCTGAACCAGTTGGTTTTCTTCTTGACATTTCTGCATTGCAATACTTCTGGCTCATCTACAGTTTGCTGTTTCTGAATTGCAATGCCTTCTGGCTCATCCACAACTTGACAGCGAGTGGAGAGTCAATTATCACAGCATAACATTAAGGATGTTGGCAATGTAAAATGGATATTGTTGGCAAATAATATTGGTGCTGTTGGCAAAGGGCATCATACAGATGTGCTAAGAATTGGTGAGCAATGAACTCGCATGTAAACATTGGGAGAGGGAGTATTTAGTTGTGGTGGTACAAGTGGGAATGGAATTAAGTGTAGACAGTGGAGATAGAGTAAGTTGAAGTGACTGACAGCTAGCATTGAAAACCAAGCAGAGTTTGAGGAAAGATAGAGCAGCTCAGTGACAGACACAGAGTGTCAATGTTGTTTTTGACTATGGTGGTCTCAGTGCTACTGATAGAATGTAAGGCAAGCTGTAAGGATTCAAAAAGATGAATGCTGGGTATGCTATTTGGTGGCAAGAATGTGGTAGAGAAGAGGAAGTGGACAGGTATTGAGAAAGAGCTGAGGGGTCAAGAACTATGTAATTACGGTGGCTTTATATTGTAGGAGGGCCGGGTAAATGAGTTATTGGCTATGTTTTCACGTGTTACAGCTGAGGAGGGAGATTTCGGTGGTCGGAAACTGGTCAAGGGCAGAGGCCTAGGGAAAGTGAGTGATTGGAGAAGTTTGGGGTTGGTGATACGAAAAGTTTTGGACTGTTGAGACTGGAGTTGGGATCAAAGAGGAACTGGAGATATGTATCTACTGAGTAAGATTTGGAGACAACACAATCCCCAAGTGTCTTGCAGTGATGAAGATGAAAGAGGGGAGGGGAGTGAGTTGAAAGAAGGGGAGGAGTTTACAATTTCATTGCCCTTTGGGATTATCATTGAGTTGGAGATGAAGATAGATTTACTGATCGGTCTCTAAGTAAGTCATGTTCCATATGCACATGAGCTTAAATCACCTGGAGTTGAGGATGCAGTTCTAGGGTTGGAGTGAGGGATCATGAATTTGGATTATACCATTGAAACCACAGGTAGACCAGGTACAAATGGTGACTTATAGTCGTATTGTTCATTTTGGTGTCGCCATTGACCAGTAATGAAGTTCATTGCTCTTAATCGTCTTGCCTGAATGAGTGCAACTCCAACAACATTCAAAAAACTCAACTCTACTCAGGACAAAGCAGCCTGATTGGCTCCACCCCACACTTTCAATATTCATTCCCTGAAATACTGACACATAGTGGCAGCAGTGTGTACAATTTACAAGATGCACTGCAGTAAATAAAGTAGGGTGAATTGACCTATCTTTTGACACTTAGGGAAGAAAACCTTTTTAATTGTTGACCCTATCTTTAAATTTCAGGGTTTGCCTGGCTCTCCAGGACTTCAGGGTGCAATGGGAGCAAAGGTATGAAGTGATTATATTTTGAACTATTCTTGTGAGACCAAATAATTTTAATTATCAATAAACAACCTGCCGTATTTATAATAAAGGTATAGAACTAGATGAACACAGCAGGCCAGGCAGCATCAGAGGAGCAGGAAAGCTGACATTTCAGGTCTGGACCCTTCTTCTGACATGGGGGAGGGGAAGGGGACTCTGAAATACATAGAGAGAGGGGGGGAGGCAGATGGAAGGTGGATAAAGGAGCAGATAGGTGGAGAGGAGATGGACAGGTCAAGGAGACGGGGATGGAGCCAGTAAAGGTGAGTGTAGGTGGGGAGTTAGGATGGGTGTTGGTTAGTCAAGGGAAGACGCACAGGTCAAGGAGGAGGAGATGAGGCTGGTAGGTAGAAGGTGGGGGTGGGGGTTGGTCAGTGAGGTGGGAGGAGCGGATAGGTGGGAGAAAAGATGGACAGGTTAAGGAGGCAGGGACGAGCTGGGTTGGTTTTGGGATGAGGTCGGGGTTGGGGAGATTTTGAAGCTTGTGAAGTCCACGTTGAGACCGTTGGGCTGCAGGGTTCCCAAGCGAAATATGAGGTGCTGTTGCTGCAACCTTCGGGTGGCATCGTTGTGGCACTGGAAGAGGCCCAGGACGGACATGTCTTCCAAGGAGTGGGAGGGGAAGTTGAAGTGGTTCACGACTGGGAGCTGCAGTCGTTTGTCACGAACCGAGTGTAAGTGTTCCACAAAGCGGTCTCCAAGCGTCGGCTTGGTTTCCCCGATTGTAGAGGAGGCCACAGCGGATACAATATACCACATTAGCAGATGTGCAGGTGAACATCTATTTCATGTGGAAGGTTTTCTTGGGGCCTGGGATGGGGGTGAGGGGTGAGGGGGGAGGTGTAGGGGCAGGTGTAGCACTTCCTGAGGTTGCAGGGAAAAGTGCCAGGAGTGGTGGGGCTGGTGGGGAGTGTGGACCGGACAAGGGAGTCACGGAGAGAGCGGTCCCTCTGGAAGGCAGATAAGGGTGGGGAGGGAAAAATATCCTAGGTAGTGGGGTCAGATTGCAGGTGGCAGAAGTGGCAGAGGATGATGCATTGAATCCGGAGGGATGGGGTGGTACGTGAGGATGAGGGGGATTCTGTCTTTGTTGTTATTGTGTGATGGATGAGTTGCAGGAAATGTGAGAGATGCATTCAAGGATGTTTTGGGCCACTGTGGAGGGGAAGTTGTGGTCCTTGAAAAATGAGGACATCTGGGATGTCCATGAGTGGAATGCCTCATCCTGGGAGCAGATGTGGCGGAGGCGAAGGAATTGGGAATAGGGGATGGCATTCTTGCAGGAATGTGGGTGAGAGAAGGTGTATTCTTGGTAGCTGTGGGAGTCGGTAGGCTTAAAATAGATATCGGTTTCCAGGTGGTTGTTTATTAAGTAAAGCTCAGAACAGTGGTCCTCAGAATGAGGTCTCTGGACCAAGCTCCTTCAAATGGGTGTTCTCCAAAATGATGCCACCGAATCTGGTAATCAATGAGAACCTTTTGGTTCTATATGACAGCCGGTCTTGGCAGACAATGCTCTGAAGCACCGGCTATTACTCCCAACAACACACAACTCAGATTGGGTTTTCAGCACTTCTTGGACTGACGACAAAGAAGACTGTCTGTCTGATCTTGGAGAACTTGAACTGATACCGTCCAGCTTGAGACCAGATGGCAGCTCATTAGTGTCTCATTGCAAGCTGTACCATTCTTCTCATGGAATTTTTATAGTGACAAGCAAAACTGGATGCATTGGACTGCTATGTTACGTGTGTTGCTTTTTTTTTTGTTCCACCAAAGTCATACATAGATGAAAGCATTTAAGATCTACTGATTCTGAATAATTAATTTTAGGTAAATTAGAAGGCTGAGAGAAGAGAGGAAGACGTTTTCAAAACAGCAAATTAAATCTTGGCCAGGAAATTAAGTTTAAGTTATCTAATTCTCCATTTCTGCCATTTAGCCATTTTCAAAAATTCATTTTGAATATTTCCTACTGTAATGGTGGACCCCTGTGTGGTTTAAGGTCAGGTATTTTGTCTTTCCAGAAGTCGTTGCCTGGAATTTTTGGATTCATACCTTCATTACAGTATGAAATTCCAGACTACCCTCAAATCATTTCAAAACAACCTAGACTATTGAAAACAGACAGAATTATTGAATTGAAAGTTCGGCAAAGTGTTTGAAGGTTTGATAAGAATTGAAGTTGTGGTGTTGAAGGATAAATGCAGGAAGAAATTATTGACTGTAGTCTTGAGCATAGTAATACCTGACCAGCTACAACATCATGCAAATGTCTGTGATATATAACATTGGATAAGAGATCTGAAAGATATTTCTACATTTCCCTGGATTTACACTTCATACAAGGGTCAAACTTTTCAGTCTGTTTCTTTACATTAAATGAGTTCACAATGACCTTGATAGACCATAAGACATAGGAGCAGAATCAGACCGTTTGGCCTATTGAGTCTGCTGCACCATTCAATCATGGCTAATATGTTTCTCAATCCTATTCTCCTGCCTTCTCCTCGTAACACTTGATCTATTTACCAATCAAGAATCTAACTATCTCTGACTTAAATACTCTTAATGACTTGGCCTCCACAGCCCTCTGCAGCAATGAGGTTCCACAGATTACCACCTTCTGGCTGAAGAAATTCCTCCTCATCTCAGTTTAAAAGGTTGTCCCTTCACACTGAGGGTGTGTACTCCGGTCCTAGTCTCTCCTACTAGTGGATACAGCTTCTCCATGTACAGTCATCCAGGTCTGTCAGTATTCTGTAAGTTTCAGAGATCCCCTTCGTCCTTCTAAACCCTCGAGTACAGACCTAGAGTCCTCAACTGCTCCTCGTATGACAAGCCCTTCATCCTTTAGATCATTCTTGTAAAGCTTCTCTGGACCCCCTCTGACACTAGCATGTCTTTCCTTAGAAATGGGGCCGAAAACTGCTCACAATATTCCAAATGTGTCTGATCAGGGCCTTGTACAGCTTCATCAGTCCATCTCTGCTCTTGTATACTAGCCCTCTTGAAATGAAAGTTAACATTGCATTTGCCTTCCTAACTGCCAACTGAGCCTGTATGTTAACCTTAAGGGAGAATCCTGAACTGGAACTCTCGTCCCTTCAGGTTATGCTCTGGAAGGATCCACTTAGTGTCCAAGTGGTCTTTTTTAGATTTCCTTGTGTTTCTGTGAAAGAAGTTTAAAAATAACAGCAAGTTGTCAGTGGACCAAATGTACATTTAACTTCAAATTAATTAGAGAAATGCTGAACTAGTGAGCTAATGGTTTGAGTTTTTCCAGATTGATAGTATCCTTGAAAATGAAATGTTTAGATTTTTAATGTAGTGGTAGAACTATTACCTTCAGATGTTTAATTTATCATTTTTGCATAGATAATTATAGACAATGCATTTTTCTTCCTATTTAATCTTTGCTTTATTTATTCGCAAACAGGGTGATCGAGGTCCAGCTGGTTTGAATGGCACAATGGGATCTCCTGGTAAACCTGTAAGTTTACTTTGAACTTGTATAAATGAATAGGACCATTACATGATCTATGAAGTTTATTCTGTTTTTTAAAAAAATTGTACCCTGGACCCCAGACCCAAAAAATACACAATACATGATCCAAGAAAAATACGCTATCAGCATGATATAAGAACATCCTGCAACCAATAGAGGGGTATGACATTTATAAAGTTGACTGCAACTCAGTTATAAATTCTTTTGAATTTTATGTTGGATTCGTTGCAAGTTTATCATGATTTATTCTTTATTAAACAATGTCAAATGAGTTCAATTCCCACTGTGCCAGTTTGAGAATCTGAAGTCCGTTCCCTGTATATGGAAACAAAAGATTCACTACCTATAAAGTTGACAATTAAGATTGTCCTTAGAAGCCACCTAGTTCTGAAATGGGCTTTTCTCGTCTTGCTTGAAAGTAACTCCAGACTTGCACCAATGTGATTGAATGATAACAGCCCTTTGTAGTAGCAAACTGTTCAATTGTAACAAAATGCTCAGGAAGGTGACCCATCTTCACCTCTCCAATCAACTAGGAATGGTCAAGAAATTACTGTGTACTGAGTGTGGCAAGATGCTGACCCAATGGTTAGCACTGCTTCTTCACAACACCAGGGACCTGGGTTTGATTCCAGCCTCAGGCAACTGTGGAGTTCTCTCTGGGCCTGCTGGGTGCTCCAGTTTCCTCCCACAGTTGTGCAGGTTAGGTAGGCTGACCATACTAAATTGCCCGTGGTGTTCAGGCATGTGTAGGCTAGATGGATTAACCATGATAAATATAGGATTATGGGGATAGGATGGAGGCCCGGTTCTGTGTGAGATGCTTTTTGGAGTATCGGTGCATGTTCAATAGGCCAAATAGGCTCTTTCTGCATAGTAGGGATTTAACAATTCTATATAACTTTAATATGTTGGAACGTTCTCCATGGCAACACCAATCAGACTCCATTTGCCAATTAATCAGCACACTGTTGCCATGTAAAATAAATTGTTGTTCCCTTCTGTTACAAAAATCCTTTGAACTGCAGAGGGAACTTCCTTCTACCATCATGGATAACCAGACCATTCCACTCTCTGTATAAAAGAGTTCTTTCTCCCATACTCTCTGTATCTCTTGCCCAAAACTTTAAATCTATACTACCCAGCTCTTGCACCACCCAGTTAATAGAAACAGCTTCCCTGTCTACTTTACCTAAACCCGTTATTATCTTGATCACCTCAATGAAAACTATCCTTGACTTCTTTTGTTCCAAGGAGAGCAAACACAACTTCTCCAACCCAACTTTGTAGCTGAAATCCCTCATTCCCGGAATCATCCTGGTAAAGCTCTTCTGCACATTCTCCAGGACCCTTGTATCTTCCCAGGAGTATGTTGTTCAGAATTGCATGCAATACTCATGTTTTGGTCTTAACAGAGTTTTACGAAGGTTAGACACAAAATCCCTGCTTTTGATTAACCATCTTACCTGGAAGACTGGCTGGATGCAACCCCGCTTCCATTAGACCATAGTATCTTTCTGGAAGTCAGTCTAACATTCAATGATTAGACCTGTCATTTGCTTAGGAGGGAGATGCCCCACTTGGTTTCTTTGCCTGATTGCCTATACACAGGCAAGGGCAATGAATTAAACTGTGATGCTCCACAAAGTCAAATCGCTTTACCCTTGGAGACCCACACTTGACGAGGGGTAAATTGGGTGAGATACTAGGCTGCACCTGCGGGCTTGAACACCATTCCCCAAGAGGAGCCAGGAACATCGCATGAAGAACAAAAAGACCAACAAGAAAAGAAGTGGGAAAAGGAGCTGCTTTTTTCAAGACATAAACTAGAGTCATAGAGTCTTAGAATTGTACAGCATGGAAAGAGACTTTTCAGTCCACCTCTTCCATGCTGACCAGATATTTTCAGTTAATCTAGTCCCACTTGCCAGCATTTGGCCCATCTCCCCCAACCCCTTTCTACTCATATACCCATCCAGATGCCTTTTACTGTAATTGTACCAGCCTCTACTGCTTCCTCTGGAAGCTCATTCTGTACACGCACCACCCTCTGTGAAAAGTTGCCCCTTATGCCCTTTTTAAATCTTTCCCTTCTCAACTTAAACCTATGCTCTCTCGTTTTTGGACATCCCCATCCCAAGGAAAAGAGCTAGTCTATTCACCCTATTCATGCCCCTCATAATTTTATAAACCGTATAAGGTCATCCCTCAGCCTCTGACGCTCTAGGGAAAATAACCCCAGCCCATTCAGCCTCTCCCTATAGCTCAAACCCTCCAAACCTGGCAACATCCTTGTAAATCTTTTCTGAACCCTTTCAAGTTTCACAACACCCTTTCTATAGCAGGGAGACCGGAATTGCATGCAGCATTCAAAAAATGGCCTATCCAGTTAATTCTTTTCTTGGTTCTGTATTTGACTTCAATCACAGTTAAATGTTTTTTTTTCTCTGAACAAGACCAGCAAGGGACCTCAGGACTATCCCCGGTCATCAATGGAAAGTGCCTTCCTTTTTTTTTTTTTTGAGAGGCTCAAGTAGACAAGTAAGCAAAGCATATGAAACAGAAACTGCAGAGAACCAGCAATGTCCTGTATACTCGAGCTCCTGTGGTACCCACTAGTTACAGAAAGGCTTCAGTGTACGAGCGGACACTTTATATCCCTTTCTCAGGGCCACCTGGGAATGGACAGGACTATGGGGGTCAAGTGGCCAGAGTAACCACCTCTACAAGTTTCTGACTAAGTGAAATGAACCTTAAGATTAAAGCTGTCCTGAATGCAGTTTGAAGTCCATAACTCCGATCACCTTGCCCTGTTTGGGCAGAGCATCGTGATAGTTACAGCAAGCAAAACCATGGTGATTCTGGTGTTGGACTGGGGTGAACAAGATCAGAAGTCACAGGACACTGGGTTATAGCCCAACATGTTTATTTGAAATCACAAGCTTTTAGAGAGCTGCTCCTTTGTCAGGTGATAAAAATAGAGGAAGTTGTGGATAATGACATGATGCTCAGCATCAGGAGCACAAACTAGCTGAATGAATCATAGAATCCCTACAGTGTGGGGACATGCCCTTTGGCACAACAAGTCCACACCAACCCTCAGCATCCCACCCAGACCCAATCCCCTATAACCCACCTAATCTACACATCCCTGAACACTACAGGCAATTTAGCATGGCCAATCCACCTAGCCTGCACATCTTTGGACTGTGGGAAGAAACTGGAGCACCCGGAGGAAACCCATGCAGACATAGGGAGAATGTACAAATTCCACACAGTGGAATTGAACTCGGGTCCCTGGCGCTGTGAGGCAGCAGTGCTAATCACTGAGCCACCAATGCTCTATGCCGTACCAATATATGGTTCTAAAAGTGATTTGTAAACAAACTACACAACCAGTGTAATGCTGAAGTAAAGCCTGAATTCATAACACCACAGAACTTAAAGTGCTTTCCTCTTAACAACAGGGTGAACAGGGACCGATCGGTGATCTGGGAGAACCAGGTCTCGTTGGACCACCGGTGAGTAGCTCACTAGCCTTTATCCTGCCACCAGTCTGCTGGAGCTCTATCTTTCTGTTTCACTGCAACCACATAAGTTCAGTTTGATTTAAATGTGCTTTTCTTGTATGTAATTATGGAGGTTGTTTATAAAAAGTGAACAGTTCATGGCGCTCCTTGCCATGTACTTTGTGATTAAAAGACTAGATTACCAATCCAGCAAAGGGAGTGATCCCATCACATGTGTGACTATGGCAAGAAGTGATAACAACAACAAATATGGACCAGTTTAAGAGAAGAAGGAATGGTTGACTGCAAGACTTCAGTACTCTTGCACAACAGTCATAGTGCATTCGGGAACTGGCAACAGTGATTGAACTGAAAGTCAGAATTGTTAATACAGAATTGAATTTCCCTCAATCTCATGCTAATAATGAAAGTTTACCTGACATACACACAAATATTCTGGGAAATCCAGCATTTTGCTTATACTCTGTAACATAATGCTACCCTGTGCACTTTTTTCACTTCCCAAAGAGTGATTATAATGGCCGCCTATGGTGGAATGATTAACATTAGGAATGTCTAAGAGCCCAGAATTAGACGAGCATAGAGACCTCAGATGTTTGTAGGGCTGAAAGATATTCTCATAGAATGTAAACCATTTTTACGGTTTAAATTTAACATTGTTTCCCTGTGCAGTCACTATTGTTTTAGTCTACACATTGGGTCATATTTTAATATTTCTAGGGTAGATTTAACAATTCCAGATTGCTTCTAGAGAGCTGTACACAACTGGAGCATTTGTGGGAGAGCTGAGCTTATATGTTAGTGATTGATAATGAAGAGAACATTCTTTCCAAGTCAGTCTGATCCCTGGGTTCACAATCCTGAAGTTGGCAGTCATTCCAAACCCATCTTCTAAATCAGGAGACAAACTTTGAGAAATCAAAGGATTTGGTAATAGAATCATGAATTACTATAACATTGAATATAATTATATAGGTTTACAGTTGGTTTGTAAATGTAGTAGATTTAATCTTTAACGATATTTTTACCTTGTTTGGGTTTTGTGGAGCCCAATTTCAGGAACTAATGTTCTGCATACTTGAAGAATGTCTAAATTAAGATCAAGTTGGGTTCTGTTCCAGCCTCCAGGTGGTTGCTCCAGGTGGGCAATTGGTCCCTTTCATAGACAATGCATGAGCACCCTAATGTTTGACCTTACTGGAAAACTGGGATGTTGAGACATCAGGCTTGATTCTTCTGATGGGCTGTCTCTTGTAAGACTCCACCTCTCCCCTTCATGACAGCTCCCTCCAGTGGGTATCTTTTGCCAGGAGGGAGGTCTCATTTAGAAGGTTTAGTAGTTTCTTGCACCGCCCCATCTTCTGTCCAAGTCAACAGGTGGGGATCTCCCTCTCTGTTATCCTAAGTTTTACTCAATCTGAGGCAGAGAGTTTGGTGTCCCACCACACCAAAACAAGTACATGTTATTGGAAATATATTTCAGGGTGGAAATACCAAGACAATTAATCTATTCAATCAAATCTACAAAGCATATGACTACTTTGGAAATCTGAACTTAGAAAATATGAGCACGAATAGGCCATATGGCCTTTTGAGTCTACTCTGTCATTCAAAATAATCATGGCTGATCAACTCAATATTCCCCCATCCCTTTAATCTCTTTAGCCCCAACAACTATATCTAACTCCATCTTGAAAACATTCAGTGCTTTGGCCTACCATTTTCTGTGGCAGAGAATTCCAGACTCATCAGGTTTTACAATGCAATATCTCACTCGGTTGATTCACATGCAGTATTGATTTACAGCGATTAGATATCACTGAAAGAAAAATAACATGGTTATAATGTAAAAGTATCTCAGTTCTGAATTCGTGGTAGGCCTGTAGTTTCTTAAATGAGTTGATGCTTTGGCAGGAGTGAAATTTTGAAATGCAGAATATTCTAAGTAATCTGAAGGGTTCTTGTAGTTGAAGTGCTAGAAGTTTGGTTCTCAGATGAACTTGAAGTTGGAACATTTAGAGGAGAATCCTTATCCCACTTTCAAAGTTAATTACCTTGTTGGATGTTCTGAGTCTGGATCAGTGGCTTTTAGATGCTGTCTTTGTGGAAAGCTACTTTTCCATTTTCAAAATAGGCAACAAATATATCTGATTTAGCCTGTTAGTTTGTAAGTTTTAGTGACCTCCTCCAAATAAGTCCAATAAATATCCTGTAATGTGACTTTTCACAGCTTGAGAACAGGACACAACCAACTTTATGTTTGGAGGAAAGTTCATCATGATACAGTTAAAGATTAATTGAGTCAATTTCACCTTTGTCTAATACGCACGTAGTTTTAATGTGACTTTTTGTTTGTGGTGAAATAGAAGGATGAGTTGGCTGGACTGCTGCAGTTGGCCTTGTTAACAATACATCCTTTATTTAAGGATGTATCAGTTTCCTGGATGGCTGTGAACACCCGTATTTAAGAATGTATTTGCTTGCATATCATGCCCTGCCTTGAGGCAATACTGTGAAAAGTCAATTGATTTTGAGTGGCCATTTTAATTTGCCTGTGTTGACCCACCATGCCCACTCACCCCCACAACCCCCAAACACATGACCTTTTATATCCCCTATGCTAATTTAGTGCCATCGCATGCCAACCAACCCCTCCACTCATTCTCATAGCCCTTTATAGCTCTTGTGCCAATTTAGTGGTGACTCATGCCCCATGGTCACCATTCTTTGCTTTTACATTCTTTGCCAATTCACCTAACATCCACCATGGGCAGTCTCAACATCCTACACCGAAATGAAATAAAATTGATTTCTAAATGTCTATGTCAGGCTTTCTACAAAGAGAAAACACAATTCAATACATTTAAAATCCTTCAAGTCCTTGATCTCTTATGAAAGCACCCACTTGTATTCATCGCTTGAAATCTTTGATGTGGGGCTATCAACCAAACTGTCAAATTATAAGACTCTGACAACTGTGATAAATATATGTTGTGCAATCAGGTATCTAACATTAATTGGATAATGATAACCCTCAGACTGTATAAATAGATACCTGGTGAAATTACACGTTCTGAATATTTGAAACTGAAGAATATTTCTCTTTCAAAGATGTAAAGACCTTGGGAACTTAATGCCTTGACTGCTTTACAATATCAATGTATCCCTATTTATGAATATTCCTGCCTAATCTTAACATCCCCAAGACCATCTGACTTCTCCCAAAGGGTACCTGACTTTCTCTGATGGGGCATTTGACCACTTCCAAAGGGTAATTTGCTTCTGCCAAAGGAGTAACTCACCCTTCCAACAAGTAACTCTAGAAGCATTAGATCTTGTTATTCAGATGTCTAAAGTCCACAAGTCTTGTTTTGCACATGCCATTAATGAAAATTTGATCTGTGTGTAGACGGCTGCACTTTTACATGTCGGTGAGTACTGCCTGAACTTCCCTCTATTTTTTTTCCTCCTGTGCGCATTTCTGAGGTCCATATATGGCAGCGGTTTCTGGAACAGGGAGCTGTGCAGAGGCATGACAATTGACAAATGTGGGCTGATAAGCATTGCTGGCCTCAGTGATGGGACATCTGGAATTGGAGCTCCAGCACAACTTTTGGCTAAGCTGAAGATAAGCAGAATTTGAAGTACATAAAAGTCTTGCATGGATTGACAGGGTAGATTCAGGAAGGCTGTTTCCCCTAGCTGTGGTGTCTAGAACCAGGTGGCACAATCAGAATGAGGGGTTGGCTATTTAAGATTGACATAAGAAAGGATTTCTTCACTCAGAGGGTAGTGAATCTTTAGAATTCTGTACTCCAGAAGGCCATGGAGATTGATGGATTTCTCGATTCTAAAGATATCAACAGACAGAGGCTAATGTGGGAAAATGGCATTGAGGTAGATGATTAACCATGATGCAGGTGACAGTGGAGTAGGCCTGAAGGGGCTAAATTACCAATCCCTCCTTCTATTTCCTAAATTCTTTCAATCATTGTAAAAGTCCAGTACACAATGAGTGCAGAACCTAATCCTGGTACATTTCAGTTGGTGTACAGGTTAAAGAATAGTCCTGGTGCATTATACCTATACACAGTAAGTAGTGAATCCAATCCTGGTATTTTGTACACTTATGATTTGGATACTGTTAAGAGCAGAATCTATTCCTGGTACATGGTGCACAAATTACAATCAAACCCTGGAACATTGTGAGATAATGCATTTAGGAAGGTCAAACAATAAAAGGAAATACACAACAAATGAGAACTGAGACAGGTAGATGAAGTGAGAAATCTTGGCATGCAAATGTAAAGGTCCCTAAAGGTAGTGGTACAGGTAGATATGGTTGTAAAGAAGGCAAATGAAATGCTCCTTCATTTGCAGAAGTATAGAATACATAAGTAGGGATACAAAGAAGAAAATGTATAAGACACTGAGGCAAAAACTGGAGTATTATGTGCAGTTCTGGTCATCATATTACAGGATGGGTGTATTTGCTGTGGAGGGAATGCAGGAAAAATTTATTAGAATGTTTCCAGGGCTACTAGGAGAGATTGGAGATGTTGGGGTTGTTTTTTTGGAACAGAGAAGGCTGAGGGATGACTTGATTGAGGTATACAAAATTGGGAAGGGTAGAGATGGAGTAGGCAGACAGTTCAAAAACTGGGGGTCATAGATTCAGGCTAAGTGGCAGAAGGATGGGATTAGAACTGGTATCTGGGTGTCTTTGGGTCAGCATCGACAAATGGATCGAATAGCTCCTTTCTGTGCTGTACCATTTCTATGTTTCTATTATCTCCCAGTGCCAGGCTCACCTCCAGTTCCAATCTCTGCAGCATCCCCGCAGTTCTATTCTTCCACTGCCAATTTAATCATGCAGTCTCAATCTGTTTGCCCCTAGTCGCAAATTCCCGCCCACTCCCAATCTTTTCACCCAGTCTCAAGATCCAATCCTCCTCCTCAGTCTCAATGTCCTCACTTGAATCCAAGTTTCG